GTTACAGTCGATCTCATGCAGTCCGGGATTACGTTTGGCCCTGGGGACCGTCTGGCGGTGATGCCGCTGAATGGGTGGAAGGAGGTGGTGAAGTTGGCGGATGTGTTGAGCTTGATAGAGAGGTTGGAGGAGGTCGTTGCATTGGAGAGGTCATCCGAATGGAAGAGATATGCGCATCATGAGGCAGCGGTTTCGCGTGATAAATCTGCTGCGGTGTTGAGGATAAAGGATATTCTCAGGAAGGGCCATCTTTCCCCTCTTACGAAAGAAACAGTCATGCAGGTGGGTTTCACAATCTTTCAGTTCCCAGGACATTTATACTCATATTAAATCTAAACAGATTCACGTTCTTCTTCGAACATCATCATCGACTGTCCTGAAGGTGCTTGCGTCCGAGACCTGGCCAGTCAGAGGGTCACTAGGTGACCTTCTATCCGCTGCATATTCCGAAGTCACCCAAGAAGTGTGGGACAAAGCATTCAACCCAGAAGACCTATCATGGCTAGTAAAACTCATCCCCATCGAGGTTCCAAGAACCTATTCAATCTCCAGTTTCTCCGATGAGCTCCTCCCATCCTCATTAGATCTAACCGTCTCACGAGTGGAACATGATATCTCGCCCGCCCTTGCTTCTAGCACTGGTAGGGACGCATCCTACTGGGGCGTAAGCAGCGGGTTCCTAAACCCCCATCCCGAAGAAGAGCGAATCATCAACGAGATTCCCGGCTTCGCAAATCTCGAAGACACCGTCCTCGTCGGCGTCTCTCGCCCGCTCAACTTCCAACTCCCCATTTCTCCCGCAGCCCCAGTGGCCATGTTCGCCGGAGGATCCGGCATCGCGCCCTTCAGGAGCTTCTGGGCGAAGCGCATCCTATCCGGGGCCGTTGGACGGAACATCCTCTTCCTCGGAGTCCAGTCTCGGAAAAAGCTTGTTTACGAGGAAGAGCTCCGTGACCACGTCCGGTACAACAACCTCGAGCTGCACACTGCGTTTTCGCGGGACCGCAAGGGCCTCGTGTACGACCCCTACCTCCGCGACTTGGTGGACAAAGATATGGAGCCCCGGTATCTCGATGTCGCAATTGTCGAGAACGGTAACACCGTCTGCGACGTTGTGATGTCGACCAAGCTCGGCGGGCTGGGCGGATATCTCTACATCTGCGGGTCCGTCTCCGTGTACGAGACCGTCATCTCCGGCATCCGGAAAGCACTCTACAGTAACCGCGCCGTGACCGCGAAATCCGCAGACGATCTGCTGGCCACCGCGTTTGCGGAGCGCAGGTTCATGCTCGATATATTCATGACGCCGAAAGCAATGTCGTTCAAGGATCCTGTGATCTCGCTCTCGGAGCTGTCGCGGAACACGGGGCATCGGGAGGGCTCAAAGACGTGGATTGGCGTGCATGGCGCTGTGTATGATGTTACTGATTTCCTGCCTATCCATCCTGGAGGGTCGCTCATTGTTGCGGCCAGCGCCGGGTTGGACGCGACAAAGACTTTCGATGATCTGGCACATACATCTAATCCGGAGGTTACGAGTCTGCTTTCGAAGTATTTCATCGGGTATATGGCGCCGAAGCCTCATCTGCAGTCTGCGGAACTATCGGCACTGTATGATGGGTGGCAGGATTACCTCCGCACCTGTGTGGAGAGCCTGACGACCCTCTCGTTCGAGGTCAAGTCCCTCATGAAGGACGACCATATCTGGTTCTCCGGTGGCATGCTGAACATGGGCGGAGTGCGTAAATTCTACCAGGTTTGTGATTCCAATCTTGATTTTCTTTTTTTCTTTTTCTTTTCCTCTTTCGAAAAACCTGCTAAAACAATCATTTCCACAGTTTCAATCGCGCCTGATGCAAAATGCATTTAGCGACCTGTTTGGCACAAAGATGCAGGAGCTGTACCTAAAGCTGACGTTCAGCCTGATGGCCCTTCAGAGCAGCGGATCGCGCTTTCCGGATGTCATGGGGATCATATCTCGTGCGCAGTCGTCCCAGTCGGCGACTAAGGCGCAGAAGGAGATTGCACAGATTGGTGATATGGTCTGTAATAGTGGGGCAGCGCAGTCTCTTGAGCGTGGCCTGATCAGATATGCCCAGTCTGTCACGGAGTTGGATGTGCGGTTCCTTGAGCAGATTCGGGAGGAGATTTGCACAGGTATGGATGGGTTCGATCTAGTGGCATCCATGAAGACCACGACCAAGGAGAAACAGGTACGCCCGAACACAACCCCCGATATTCTGCAACTAGATATACTAACATTTAGTTTTTTTACCAGCGGCTATTCAAAGTCTCCGCCTTCCTAATCTCCCTCCTCGAAAGAGTCGCCGAGCGCCTCGAAACCTTCTACGCCGAGATCGCCCAACAATCCGTCTACCACCCCAGCATCGAAGAAAACCCCGCCCGCGCGCGTTGGCGCCTCATCAAGCGGCGCATCTCCGACGGCAGCTTCTTCCTCTTCGCGCAAGACGTCACTCTCGAAAACCAGCCCGTCGACGCCATCAGCGAGCCCCTCTCGCCCTTCCAGCCCCTCCGCCAGGCGCGCATGCGCCAGAGCGTCTCCTTCAACCAGATCGTCTCCAACGCGCACGACATGGTCAACCGGCTCAACCACGGGCGCAGCATCGAGAGCTTCCTGCAGTCGAACCCAGCGCCCCACCAGCAGCATCACCACCAGCAGCCGCCGCCGCCGGCAAACGCAGCCCCCCGGAGGCTGGCGGATATGCATACCACCCGCGCGCAGGCACGGTCAGATAACCCGAAGTCGAGCTACACGGAGCATCTAGACCGCAAGGCGGCCGGTAGGATGACGAGCTTCATGAGCGAGAACGTGAGGGCGCTGCGGAGACTCAGCCGCATCCCGCTGGAGCTGGATCCTGCGGCGGTGCAGCATGCGATGAGTGTCTATGGCGGCGGCGGCGGCGGCGGTAGTCACGATGGTAGTAGTAGTGGTAGTAGTAGTAGTGGTGGTGGTGGTGGGGCACGCAGGATGATGGCGCATCCGTTGATACCCCCGGAAAGAAATATCAGCAGCAGAGCGAGTTCGCGGGATAGGAGTAACCGCCCGGTCATGATGGAGAGCTTGGAGACGCGGTCGGCGTCGGCACGGCCGAGTCATGGGCGGGCGGAGAGTGTGGGTATGGCGGCGAGGTTCTCGCCGGCGCATGAGAGGTCAGCGTCGGTGGTGTCGGCGGCGAGGGTGCACCGGAAGTTGTCGATCTCGTCGGTGGACTCGCTGGGCGGGGGTGGTGGTGGCGGTGATCCGATGAGTAGGGGGTTGGAGGCGCTGAAGAAGAAGTTTGTTTTGTAGCTGTACATGTTTTGAGAAAGAGGGAAGGGGAAAGGGGGGGTGACCTTTTCGCGGTGGGGATGATTTGGTTATGACTGGAGTTTAATGATTTTTGATAATTGGATACGAAACGCCTTGATGGCTGGATTGGGTTTGGGCAGATTATGATTAGTTATAGAAATACAAGAACAATTCATGACATCCTGACTATATGTACTTTCGCTCTCTTTGACAACTCTTGTGATAGTCGTGAAGCAATCCTCGTCACAGGATATCACTCGCACCCAAAGAAAGAATACCAAAGCCCACGACCACCCGGGCGCCGCTATATATCCACATGTAGCCACGTACGGAACGAAGCTAAATTAACCACCCCGGCCCGGATCTCTCTCCCTCCCCGTGCCTCTACAAACCTCTACACCATCACCGAACACAACTCCCAGCCGGAGCCGGAGAAGTTTTTCGCGCGGTGCTGGTTAGCGAGTGAGATTGTATGATACATGCTGAGGGCACCTACGGCGACCTGCGTGTGGGTTGAGTCCGGTTGCTATGGTACCGAAGTACATGTAGGTGGGTAGGTGGGTGGGTGGTAATGATCGCCATGCACCACTAGCCATGCCAACCATGATTCGAAAGCAAGAACTGCAGAGTACATCTATTCTGTTTTTAAGTTTTTGACGATATCTGTACTAACGTCACTATGCAGATAAACACTAACGATACCACTACCACTACCAAACTACCACTACCACTACCACTACCACTAGCTAATAGTACTCTACATGTACTAACAATATCAATATCCGTATGCTACAAAGAGAGAGAGGAAGGCGTAAAAGCACAAAACGTAGTTGTAAGTAAAGACAAAGCGTACACAAAAAAACACAGTATAGTGCATACCCCTCCCCCCTCCCCCTCCCCCTCCCCCTCCCCCCACACCATCACCACCACTCCAAAAAAAAAAAAAAAAAAAAAAAAAAAAAACCACACACATTACATCAAAAACGACACACACATAATCAAAATTTTCACAACCATACAAGCTCTACACATTTTCTACATATATTTTTTTTTCATAACACCGTCAAATCCAAGGGAACAACAAGAACAATAACAAGAACAAGAACAAGTGGGTAAGAAGGAATTAAACGCATAAATAAATCCAAGCTCAAAGACGAACAAGTAAAAAAAAAAGATGCCAGGATAGCTATATAGGTAAAGAACTAGGTAGGTAGGTAGGTAGGTAGCTAGGGTAGTATAGTAGATCGGTAAATAGGTAGTAACTAAACTATAGTAGAGTAGAGTAGAGTAGATATATGCGTCAAAAAATAGTGGTAAAGAAGAAAGAAGAAAGATGAAGCTCAAAGAAGTGAATAAAAAAAAGAAGAATAAGAATAAGGGAGTCGATCCAATAGCAGCCTACAAGCCATACAGGCAAAGCAGGCAAAGCAGGCAAGCGGTGTAGAACAATAACACACACAAAGACACACTCAGACACAACATCGAGTAGACTATCCTAGATAACAGAGAAAAGGAAAAAACCCACGCCCAACTCCTCCGGCCCTTACAACAATAAACAAGAAAACTAAAAAAGGACTGAATAAAACACATCGAAAAGAGAAAAAAGAATATATAAGAAAAGCCACTAAAAGGACTACAGGAAGTGCGGTATAAGAAAAAAAAAAGAAGAGGGGAAAAAACGGACACAAGACTACCCAAACAACTTCATAACCCCCCACACGCCCACCGCACTCAGCACCGGAATAGTCACATTATCATCCAACCCAAACGCATCCACCGCCTCACTCGCGCTCGCAATCAATCCCGTCACCAGACTCATCAAGCCCAGCGCCCACCCGCCCTCCAACTGCATCCCCTCAACACCCAACTTCCCCGCCCACGTCACCGCATTCACCGGATCATCACCCCACCTCTGCGTGCCAGGCACCACCACGCCGAAAAACACCGCCGCCGTCACCGCGCCCACCACAAACGACGCCAGACTGCCCGCCAAGCTCTTTCCGCGCCTGATGCGCGGGGTGTAGCGCCCCCATGCGCGGCCCACCGTCGACGCGGCCGTGTCGCACCACGACAGCAGCAGGATCGACAGCACGGCGATGTCCTTGGGGAAGACGGTCAGCACCGTGATGGTGCCCACGAGGTACCACACGACACCGTTCCAGCCCGCCACCTCGGACTCGCGCATGAGCGCGCCCAGGCAGCGGATGTACAGGTTGTTGAACTCGGGCGAGTAGAAGCGCAGCAGGTCTGCGCTCGCGATGGGGATCAGCGCCGTGATGAGCGGCGGGGTGATGGTCGTGGGCTGGTAGCCGGTGCGGTACATGTGCAGCACAATGAAGCCGATCGAGACGTGGAGGAGCTTTCGGGGCACCTCATGGCGGTGAATCTGAGTCTGCATGTTAGCATACAGCTAGCGCTATGAGATGGGTTGGTTTTCTTACCAGAGATGAAAACTTTCTGTGGATAGGGATCAAGCCAAGGGGACTCGGGCTCCGTGAGAAGTTACGCCATACGCTGGCTGGCGTTGGCGGGGAGAGGTAGCCGTTGCTGGGGACGGTCTCTAGCGGCGCGGGAGGGGCTTTTCGCTTCTGGAGCGGGGAGCGGGAGCGCGCGCGCGATATGCTGTCGGAGGAGGTCGCGGAGGTGTCCGAGTTGTAGCCACCGTCGCTTGTACTATGGGAGTCGAGTTTTGCGACGTTGTTGAGCGAGGTGGAGGATGATGCGGGGGAGGACTGGAGGGACGAGGACATTTTTTCGAAAGTGGTGGTGGGGGGGGGGGGTGTTTTCGATTCTATTGGGTGAATATTGTGGATTTTTTTTTCTTTATTCTAGTTGTTTGTGGAGAATGTGTATTAGGAAGTGTGGTAGTGGTGGTGGTTGTGGGTTGTGGGTTGTGGTGGTGAGATGCGATCGATGCAAGGGGTGATGTTTCTGGAACAGTGTCCTTTTTGGTGATGACTGTGGAAGGGTGAGCTGTGGTGAGCAGTTGGGAGGAGTGGAGAAGAGAGGAGAGAGAATCAACAACACTGAACTGAACACTGAACACCGCGAGAGAGAGGGCTGGGGAAAAGAAAGAAGGAAGGAAAAGAAAGAAAGAAAAGGGTAGTTGGTAGTGTGACTGGCAACACCCTGAAGTGCAGTTGAAGCTTTTTTCGTTTTCTTCTTTCTTTCCTTTTTTGCTTCTTTTTTTTTTTTTTTTTTTTTCGGTCTTGCGCGCAAGTGGAAAAGTGGAGACCTAAGACAGTTCGAGTCGGGGCAGAAGAAGCAAAGAAAAGAAAGAAAAAAAAAGTGAGAGAGAGACAGAGAGAAGTAGAAAACACGACTGACTGACTCGTAACCTCTCAGATAAAGACGACGACGACTTCACCGCAGCAGCAAAGCAAACCAGCACAAGAACAGGTCTTGGACAAAAACGCAGGGATCAGCGGGGGTGTAATAATGATGCCGTGGCGCATAGAATGGAAATATGCAACACAGGAACAGAGCAGAGCAGCAAACACAGCCTCTGCTATGCATGCATCTACAAACAAATACAAACACCAATACAATAAATAAAAGTCCATAGAACAGACCAGATCTCCCAAATCCCCGTTTCCAGGACGCGCCGCCAAACCAAACGCGATCCCTTTATTGCTATTCGGGCCAGCTAGCTACATACTCTTCCACCACCACCACCACCACGCCCACAACAACAACAGCAGCAGCAGCCTTGACTCGCACGCAGCACCAACCAACCCCCCAAACCTCCCCAACGGCAACGGAACCTTACAGACCCGTCGCCGCCGGCACAGAATTTACTTCGCATCCCGGATAGGCCCTACATAGAGCGCTCACTGCACTCTGCTTCCAGCTATGTGTGCGTCATTTACGCTCCCTGTTTGGCCTTAGTTACGGTATTAGTCAGGGGCTGTGCTAGCGCGCAACATGTGACAAGTTACAACTTATTACTTTTGGCACGTGAAAAGCCCTAACCCTCGGCTTCTGAGACATTCTTTCTGGAACATTGGGGGGGGCAGGACTGAACCCGTGCTGCAGCAGCAACCGGGGTTGGGTTGATAAGATCTGTCCTTCTGGGCGCTTCGCTTCGCCTGTGCAGCATGGAATATCACTCGTGCTGCCCCCTGCTGCTGCTGCTGCTGCTGCGTCCCGTCATGTGCTATCACTCGCTGGGCAACACGTCACACGGGGCGTTAATCGGGAATGACATGCCTATGACACTGCGGGAATGTCATCTCATCGCCTGCCACCGCGAGGGCTCCTTGCAACGTTTTATGTATGTAAAACGGGGAAGTTTCGGGAGCCAAGGATTTTCGGCTATCGTAAAGATGTCCTAGGCCATAGGATGCTGGTGTTTTTTTTTTTTTTTTTTTAATTTATTAATTGAACCCTACAGGTATACGTATGGCAATAGATACTAGTAAATAGAGGTCGAGAAAACATTTCCCCATGAATTCCGTCATATTCGAATTCAATAGCCATGGGGGTAGAAATCCAGATCTAAAGTAGAGCCTATTTATATCTCAGGGATCAATGACATATGCGCGCCATCTGGGAACACCATTCGCCCCAATCGTAGATCCATGTATATTTCAAGATGTCGAAAATCTTGTTTTTTGTTGGAACCATTCCAATAGGCTGGCATAAGGCTGCTGTATAGTACAACGTGTACTATACATGATCAGCAGATGGCGCGTGGTGCGTCCTCGGGAAGCGTAAATTGACGTTGCGCCCTGAGGGACCGTTACTTAGTCCCGGAGCCTCTGATAAGGATTGAAGTATCAATAGGATAGAAACTCCCTTAGAGGATACACATCGTAATTTAGATTTTTTTCTCTCATTATTTCAAGTCATCTTTTTCCACTAGTACTGGTCATAAACGCACTTCACTTCACTACATGTACTCACAAACTATAAGACAAAACTGGTGGAGCATGGTGAGATTGTTTAATCAACACGAGTCACCACTCTTATCTCCAACCAACCAACTTACACTGATCAAGAGCTCTTTTGCCCATACAACCTACTGTCTTTCTCTATGGACATTGATCCCCGAACGGAGCAATCGAGTTCACACAGCAAGACATAGATAGCAGCAGCAGCAAAGGTAGCCTCATCACCTCTACTCACCACTAATCTTGACCAGTCCATCAACCTCTACCAGTCCCAGACAACCTCCACTATTACCAGCACCAACAAGTACACTACAGTATCCCTACCTACTGCACTATACACGACCCCCCAATGCCCATCCTCCCACCTTGCCCACCTTGTCCATCCTGCCCTTCTCCATGAGCCTCTCCATCTCCTTTGTCTCCCGAAGCAGCAACAGGCCGTCTCGACGAGCCCGCAGTCTTGCGGAAACGAGACCTCATCCCGAGTGAAGGCGAGGCGGGCTCGTCCGAGAGGATGTAGCTGTAGGTGAATGAAGCGGAGGGAGGGGCGGTAGTGACGACGGTGGAGGTGCTGGAGCTTGCGGGGTCCGAGGTAGTTGACATTGTTACTGGTGTGGAGATGTTGGTAGTTGGGGCCGCTACTGGTTGGATGGATGGAGGATGCGAGGGTCTTGGTTTGGGGGTGTTTGGATGTTAAGGCTTAAGTAGTGAGTTTTGAACACGTTTTTGGATGGAGTGAGCTCTCTGGTTGCTGTTGTTGATGTTGTTGACTTTGTCTGGCGCTGTTCAGATGCGCTATCTATCAGCTATCTGGCGGGCTGTTTAATGGTACGTGTCTGAAAGAGCAACAGGAGCCCCATTGTCGATAGAAACTTCTGAAGACTGTACGGGAGGATCACTAGACTACATGCAATATACCGATCAGAGAGTATATTGCATCAGGCGTATACGTACGTACAGAGCGCGACCTCTATACCACTGGACCATCCAGCAGCCCACACTAAGAAGTATTCTTTTAGTACATACATACATGTAGTTTTTATACTTACGCCAGCCAGCTTGGAAACACTTCATGCCGCTTCCACTGCGGCCTTATGCATACATGTATTATTCTGCGAACAATTGTGTTGTATGACTTTTACATTAAGCCTTCAAAGAAGAAAAAGAAGCCATGAAGGGAGAAGAAAGATCAGGGCTGGGTGCGTCAAAGTCAAGATCAATTACCCCCAAGCTTTGACTGTATGTTGAATCAACTGCATACCACCATCTGCTGCATCCAAAACGTCCGGGAGCAACTAAAATTGCAAGTAAACACGACAAGTAGTAAGTTGTTCGTTGATTTGAGGGTAGAGAGTGGACGAGAGAATTATCTTACGTTAAATAATCAAGCAAGATGGGATTATCAACAATAGAAGAAAGAAAAGAGAAAAAAAGTGTTCAAGTTTGAAAGTGGAATTACTAAGCGGGATTCGAACCCGGTATCCGCTGTCGTCATAAGTTTCCTAAACCGGAGGCATATACCACTCTGCTAACAAGAACTTCGAGGGACTGCCTGCTAGGGAAGATGTTAAACGCACACACGTAGACGTAACATCCACTAGCTTGGCCTGTAATAGAACGCTTACGTACTTACTTGTACGTACTACATGTAGTCAGTTAAAACGGGTATGTAGGGTATATCTGGGTTTCATGGTACTGTCAAGTTTTTTCTTTTGGGCATAGATACAGGTACTTTTTGCAACTTTTTTTTCTCTTTCCCCCTTTAGCTTCGTGGTGACTTAAAGGGCACGTTTGGGGGTGCCCTATCACTACAACGATGCCTCGTAGATCACTGAGAAATATGGTGGTTGTGATAAGTTAGAGAGGGGAGAAAAAAAATCGTAAATCACACTGCGTCACCATATATCACTCGGTGATCAATGTCCCCACAATGATCATACACCAACATACGATAGCAGCATCGTGTACGTAGAGAGTGATAATCATGATGTATTCATTTGCCAAATTATAATAAGAAACCCATCCACTACTCGAATGAGCACTTGCACGTCTCACATATACCATTCATCCGAAGTAAATACGCATAATCCTGCCTTCTTCCCCTAAGTAATCATCCACCCCATGCATTCCCAATATAACTAAAACTAAAAGCTAAGGTCTCGTTACTGAAAACATTTGTATGTATTTCTTCTCTTTCTTTCTTTGATTTCCCCCTTTTTAAAAAGTCTCACCATCACCCATCCAGCAATTGATAGAAAGAAAAAAAGAACGAAAAAATGTAAGAAAAAGAAAAGGAGAAAGAGAAAAAAATTTCCGACACGACACACAGACGACACACATACACATAAACATATGGGGTCCTAACTATAACCACCATGGCACAGGGAGAGAGAAAAAAAATCTGTAAAAAAGAAAAACATGGAAAAAACGGAACGCCCCTCAGAAAACGACAACGCAAAACCGAAACCGGATGATAGAAAAAACAAACAAGTACGCACACCAGTAGAAGGAATATAACAGAGAGAAAAAAGGTTAAAATTATCGATCAATCGATCGAATACCGAGTTAAGGAACCACACAGGAAGAAGAAGATAACAAGAAGATAAACAGGTATTTTGGACCACCCCACCGCCGCCGTCACCGCCGTAAAATTCATATGTCCCATTCTAGTACTTGACTGACTGCGCAAACAGCTCCCCAAACCCGGCCGGGTACTCGGACAACTTTCCTGTCCACATATTCGCGACCGCATCCTTCATGGCCTGTGAGCCAAATGATGAATCGACAGGCCAGACCATCACTGACGACAACTGCTTAATCGGAATCTGCGAGCAAAAATTAGTATACGACTCGATATTCACCGTAAGAGGGCCAAAACTTACTCCTTCAACCTGAGCCCTGACATCAATCTTCACCTCACTCTTTCCCATGTTCAGCACACCCGCGTTCTCCTTCAAGGCCGCCTTAGCAAAAACACCGCTTCCAGAGCTTTGTCCTTGCTGTTGCGAGAGCCCCTTCTTCTCGCCCTTGCCGCTGCTGCTGCCCTCGCCGGCATTCTCCTTATCGGGTACATTCTCCTTCTCTTCCTCGTCCGCGCACCGGCTCTCACGGAGCGACGATGGCGCGGTAGGCTTGAACCTTTCCGCAGCGTTCTTCTGGCGCTGGAACGGAGTAAGGGGCGTCTCCTTGGCTGGTGATACGCCAAGGCCGAAGCCACCCGCTGGCTGTGAGCCAAAGAGGCCTCCGGAGAGAACAGGGGGTGAAGCGGAAGCTGTGAGCGGTGCGGGAAGAGTAGCGTGGGACATGGTCGGTGGTGGGGGCGGGCCGTCGGAAATGTTCTCCTTGTCGGAGGTGTCTGAAGCAAAAGACCAGGCCGGTGCAGCGTTGAAATTGATAGTGGGCGCATCGGTGGGCGGGGGTGCCGTATTGATCTTGAAGGGGATATCGCCGGGTTTGACCTCGGTGTTGAGGAGGAAACTGGGCGCGGGCTTTGAAGGGGTAAAGAGATTTCGTGATGGAGCGGCAGTGGGGGACTCGCGGGTTCTCTTGACCGGGGATGTTTTCGGAGGGGAGCCCGGAGAAGAGGGAATAGTTGCTGTTTCCTCGGTGGCCTCTTCAACGGTGGGGTTGAGAGAGCTACGCCTGTTTTCTTTGCCTTTGCCTTTGCCTTTGACTTTGGGAGCCTCTGAGTCTGAATCGGGCATGACCTCGTCGTCGTCTGGGATGGGCTGGCCTAATGCCTTGAGGGCTTCACGCATCTCATACTTATCCTCTAGCTCGGCGATCTTGCGCTCCTTCTGTCTCTGCTTGAGGAGCTTTAACTTCTCTTCTGGTGTAAGCTCTATCTCTTCCTCTTGGGTAAGCCGGACCTTTTCCTTCTTCGGGGGTGCCGAGCCCGTGATTTTCCTCGCGTAGGGATCATAACGTGGTGTCTTTTTGGCAGAACGCATCCGCTCGATAAAGTTGTTTGGCTTACGCAGACTGGACACTTCAATAGTGGGTTTGCTGTGCTTGAGAGGAGTACTCATTGTTGACCTGCGTTCACGTCGAGAAGGTGCAGTACTCGTCGTAATCTTGGGCTTATCATAAACGAAGAAGCCAGAGTCATTTACCCTGGTAGGAGTACCACCGAAGCTTTGAGAAACCTCCCGGCTGTCATAGTGATCATTAGTCTTGCTGTCACTCCGGTAGTCCAGCTGAAGGGACGTTGTCATAGATGATGGTGATGGTCTCTTGGGTTCCGGTTTACCAAAGGATCCAGGAAGGGAGTAAACATCGTCGTTCTCATCATCTCCATTATCCTTCTTGGGAGTACCAATGACAAGCTCCTTAGTTGGCGTGATAACTGTCGCCTCCATGTCATACGGGTCATCCTCGGGAGCGCCAAGAATAGCCTTTACGGGTTTCTTGACGCTCTCCGGTAAGATCGAACCAAGCCACTGTCCCCACGTCTTCTTTCCCGTTGCTGGGGTAGACGGTGCTCCCTTTGGCGATCTCGTGGGGGTCTTCTTCACAGGGCTTGGGGTCTTTGTGAAAAGATTTCTACTTGGGGTAATTTTGAATGAGTACTCATTGGCTGGCCTCTCCAAGTCTACATCTATTGGATCCTCGTCAGTCGGCACTTCATCTTCATCGTCATACTCCTTGGCGCCGTGCATGGTATATGGCGATCGTTTGTCCGATGGTTCCTCATAGCTGGTATCTGAGATAAGCTGAGCCTCGTGGTTATCAACGCTTCCGTTGCTCTGGGAGGCGGCTTTGGCGCGCTGGAGGGCCCGTGATGTAGTAGTCGAATAGGGGGTGCTTCGAGGAGCGCGGCCAGAGCGTTTAGGAGTTATGAGGGAAGAGTTACGAGAGTTCCGGGAGCCAGAGGCACTCTGCGGGGTGTACACTGGGAACGAGGCACTCGGGGACTGCGACGAGTTGGTGTCTGAAAGCTTTGTTAGCCTCATTTCGGTGGTTGTATGTATGACAGCAGGGAGGCAGAAGTGATGTGCAACAGTTGTAGCTTCGCCACAAAACAAAGAAGAAAAAGAGACAAATAACAAAGCGAATAGTGCAAGAACGCGAAAAAGAAAGATAAAGCCTACCTGTACCATCCAAGCTCATTCTCCCTTTTCCCTTGACCTTCTCAATCTTCTCAAACCCACTCTTGTTCCCACTGAAAGACACCGACAGCTTCTTGCTCTCGTCGCCCATGGCCTCGCCCTCCTCCTCGTCATCGCTGAAGAGACCAAATCCTCGTCTTTTCGCGGGCATAGTGGAGGTGGTGGCACTGGTACTAGATTTGGCTTTGACAGGGAGTGACGACGGGCGCCCGTTGCTGTGTCCAAGGCTACGGCTGAGCATCGACGACGTCGTCGGGCGGTTAAGGGCCATCGCGGCTATGGGGGTTGTGAGTGTAAATGAGAGGTGTTTGTTTCTTTAAGATTATGTTTAGGTGTTTTATGTAGGGACAGGACAGTTAGTGGTTGTCGATTTATGATGGGCTCTGGCGAACGTTGGGAAGGGTTGTTGTTGTCCAAGCGACGGAAGGGAAAAAACTGAGTGGGTCCATCGCGATGTCTTGGCGGGGAGGCTGGGGTCTAGTACTGATTGGGGAAGCCAATGATTGACTGGTGGTTTCCTACAGAGCGGGCTATTTCTCCCCCTCCCGCTCTGTGAAGCGTCAGATATGGTGGACATGACATAACGACGCGTGAAATTGTTTTGGGAGATCGCATAGAGAGCCCTCGTTTAGAGGCGTTAGTCCGAAGAATATCAAGGCAAACAAAGACATATGATAGCATCGAGTGGCCAGGTGTACCCCGCCTTTTGGATCCCTTACTTCCATTATCACAAGGCTCGTCTCCTTGCCCTGAACTTTAATTAAACTCTGCAGAAACTGCTTTGTTTACTGCTGGAAAACTATCCTGCATGTTACTCCAGGATTTCAGAAGGAACCATCGCGGTACAGATCAAACTATTTTAATTCTAGTCGGCCATAGGAATCATGATCATATGAGCGTTGGCCGATAAATCGTCAAGTGAGTTGATACCAGCTAAGTATGAGACACGTCACAGAGTGAATGTTCTCCCCGCAAAAGACACACCTCTGCACGCAACATACTTAACTTACAGATGATCACATGGCACGGGATAAACAAACCTCCAAGCTGGAGTTCCATTTCGACATTTACGCCATCCATCAACTGCATACATACTAGACTTTGCTGCGTCTTATCGATTGGCATTTAGAATGAGCCTGGAGTCATCTCTTCTCCAGGAGGACCAGCCATCTTAACGATGTCAAAATTGCACAGATCAACGCATCGGACGGAAAGCTCTTTCAAGTAAGGCTGCAGGCAGGTACCGAGTGAACTTGGTTATTTCTGGGGAAATACGGCTAACGATTATATTATAAATTCAAACTAAGGTCGCTGCGGATGCAATGCTCGTCCTCGAAAATGACATGCTACGAGGTTATTGTCCACGCATGGCTATGTATACCGGGAAACCAAGTAATATTCGATCCAACCTACCGAATTGATTTCCGTCTATAGTACCGCATCGATTAAATTTTACTTTAGCGCGGGCACCCCGGGTCTTCCAGTTTGTTAAGAAAAGAAAGAAAAATCAAGATTATAAAAAGGAATGTCACTCCTTGATCTTCTCTACATATACCCTTCGGGTTCTAATCCCTATCTTTCCTAAAGTCCTGATACAATATTATACAGATAGAATGGACCGGTCTAGTTTATTTCATTTAACTACGAAACACGTCCATTCTGTCAAAGTTTCAAGCCGAAACATATACAGACACTCTGGTTCTGGAAAAGTACAAATATTTGAGTTGTCGTGTCGACGGCTCGCTCTTCTCACGCTTACATGAGCACTTGATGATCTCAATTCCCTTCAAACACTAGGGGTGTAATTTGACCAGCATTGTGGGAGAATGTCCAATAAAAATCTACATTCCCCACGGAGTGACTCCTCCAAGCCTTGTCGTAATAAATGACTCTACATATCTCCTTCTGCAAGCTTCTGTAGCAATTTCACCCGTTTTCTTGGTATCGTTAATTGCAACAAAAAAAACCAAATCACCAATAATCACTCGCACACATCAACACCACCAATCGCTCACTCTCCCACAATACCTCTCACTTAGAATACTTTAGCATCTTAGCGCATCTTCTTTTATCTCCTCTACCACCTCAAATCCTCTCTGAATAACTTTGTAGAAATCTCTTGGCAGCGCTGGTTAGGGCTAGCGCCAAGACCCTACCCTGCATCCCACCAACTCGATAAGAATTTTTTTCCCTCTCACGACACAACGCAACCTCCCAATTACCACCGAAAAATACCCAACCAGCCATGCCGTTCGAGAACAAACTGAAGAAGCGCAAGGGTAAACAATTCTATCAACCTCATCTTACATACCAATTGAAACACCTGCTAACCTCCACATGCAGCCGCGGCCAGCGCGCCCTCGCCCACTGCCAAAAAGGCGAAACCCTCATCCACCACCGTCCCCGTTGCCGCCGCGGCCCCCAAAGCGGCGACAAGAGTGTCCACGCGCAAGAAGGCTGCCGACTTCATGTCCGATGGCGAAGAGTCTGAAGATGGCGGCTGGGATGCGCTCGAGGACAAGAAAGGCAAGAAGGACAAGAAGAGCACCAAGGCGGCCGCTCCTGCTGCCGTGAAGGAGAAGAAAGAGAAGAAGGCAAAGAAGAAGGATGAGGTCGCCGCTGCCCCGCCTCCTGTAGAGGAGAAGAAGAAGGCAGAGGAGGCAAAGACAAAGAAGGACAAGAAGAAGAAGGATGAGGAGGAAATGATCTCCCTTGACGTTGACTATCCGGACTCTGGGCCAGCAGAGGGATACGACAGTGAGGATGACAGTGCAGAGGAGGAGATTGACGACCAAACTGCGAAACTCTTGCAAGGGTTTGAAAGCTCTGATGAGGAGATGGAGGACGGAGATGGCGCACAGAAGGAAGTGAGCGAGGCCGATAAGTCAAAGTTTGCGGATGCGAAGATTCCGGGTGGGAAGAAAATGCAGAAGAAGATGGCCGCGCTTCAGGCCAATGAAAAAGTAAGTTTCAGAATTCTTTTATTTTTACCTCCCCACAGGATAATGCGTTACATTTCCTGGCTTGATATGATGCTTTTATCTGGTATTCAACAAGATATTCCGTGATTAAAAAATTGAAAACCAATAATAATTGGAACCGATCTCGCACACATCTTACGCTTATATCTACACCGCCGCTCCATGCTATATTACCAATTCTAACAGACCAACTACTCTAGTCCGTTCCCGGCGTTGTTTATCTCGGCCGCATCCCCCACGGTTTCTACGAGAACGAAATGCGCTCCTACTTCACCCAATTCGGCAAGGTCACGCGCCTACGCCTCTCGCGCAACAGGAAGACGGGCCACAGCAAGCACTACGCCTTCATCGAGTTCGCAGACGCCGAGACCGCGCGAGTCGTCGAGGAGACCATGGACAACTACCTCCTCTTTGGGCACATCCTCAAGTGCAAGCGCGTCCCCATGGATGACAAGGCCTTCATCGAGCTGCTGTTCAAGGGCGCAAACAAGAAGTTCAAGCCCCACTCGGGACAGAAGGCGCACAAGGCGAGACACGAGAGGAAACACACAATCGAGGAGTGGAAGGAGAGGGAGGAGAGGGAGAAGAGGAAGAGAAAGAGTATCACCAACCGCTTGAAGAACCTCGAAATCGACTACGAGTTCGAGGCCCCAATTATCACGCCGGAATTCGTGAGGGCCATTGAGGCTGCGGAACCCGCAAAGGCCATTGAGGCGGCTGAGCCAGCTGCTGAGGCTACCGAAGATGCTGTTGCCGAGAAGAAGACAACCGAGAAGAAGGCTGTCGAGAAGAAGACCGCCGAGAAGAAGACCGCCGAGAAGAAGACCGCCGAGAAGAAGACCGCCGAGAAGAAGACCGCCGAGAAGAAAACAGCTGAGAAGAAGACGGCCGAGAAGAAGACCACTGAGAAGAAGACTGTCGAGAAGACCACCGAGAAGGCCGCCTCCGAAACAACCGGCGACGCCCCTGAGAAGAAGAAGCGAAGACGAGTCTCTAAGAAAGCCGCCGCAGAGCGGGACGCGAAAGCCGCCGCCGAGAAAGCTGCTCCCACGACCACCGCAGCCGCCGAGACCGCCGCGGTCGTCGAGGCAGCTGTCGAGAAGGCCGTCGAGGCCGTCGAGGCCGGAGACGGGATTGAGGAGATGGAGATCGATGTAGTCGTCAAGAAGGGAAAGAAAGCCAAAACCGCTGCTCCGGAGAAGAAGACAGCCGAGAAGAAGGCCGCCTCTAAGAAGGCCACCAAGGAGGTCGCTGCCCCCGAGGAGGCGGCCGTCACCGAAGAGGTAGCCGCCCCTAAGGAAGTTGCTGCTGCCGTTGAGGAGGCGGTTGCTGAGAAGGCCGCCCCCGAGAGGAAGAGCAAGAGAGGCGCTGAGAAGAAGGCCGCTGCGGAGAAGGCTGCTGCTTCCGAGGAGCAGGAGAAGAAGGCTGCGGCAGAGAAGGTTGAGAAGGTCAAGAAGCCAGCCAAGAAGTCATCCAAAAAATCAAAGGCGTAATTCTTTTTTTGTTCCTTTTTTTTTCCTCCTTCTCTCTCTGGTTTTTTGTCTTTTGATGGGGGAGTAATTGTAGCCCTACATAATTTTTTCGCCAACCACCAAAACTCTAACCCTCACCCAGCCCCAACCCAAAAGTCAATGTGTGTTTTTTTCTTCTCTCTTTCTGTTTTTTTGGCCAAGAAAAGAATTCTGTAAGATAAATTTTTAGCAATGATGAAATATGGGCGGGTATGTACTAAAAAAAATTTTCGGCATTGCGGGTCTTGAACCTTTGCTCGTAGAGAGGATCTTGGTAAATATGTACATCTTTGTTTTGGAAACCCACCCCTCCCCGCCCGCCGGCCGGCCACGTCCAACTACTTAGCCCCTCAATTACAGGCCGCCGGGGATGAGCCATTTGAAACATATAGACCGTGTGCACCTGTGCCGAGCATGTACCTGTGCCGAGCACCTTATAATAAAGGCAGCATTTTAGCCACCATTTGGAGTGGATCCTAGAGATCAGATAAGATGCTCGGCACAGGTACATTCTCGGCACAGGTGCACACGGTCTATACTATCTCTGCAGCTGTTTACAGCTCTCAAAAGCCTCTCTTGACAACCAGAAACGAAGGGAAGGAACATAAACTACAATCTATAAACATGAACTCAAGAGACGAAAATCCTCGATTTATCCACAACCAATCTGCCTGTCAATGACACATTCCCCGTCTAATACGGTACCAGGTTAAAAACGTTATACACTCACTCACGGGGTGGAGGCGGATCCTGTCTGATGGCGGTCAGTTAGGTTATGGACGCCAAGGGCAAATTACTGCAAACAGAACCATCAGACAGGACCCGCCGTCAGTAGGTGAGCGACTGTACCTATGATCTAGGTCGTCAATTGACCACTCGTCGTGGTCAACCCTACAAGCACATGTATAGTTCAGATCTATATGTACTCGCATGTAAATTCCCCCAGTGCACTCAATCGGGAAAGCAGCATACCTGACTCCTCAAAACTCAAGTTTAGGAGTCATGACATTAGTTGATGCCCCGAATGCACCAATGCAGTCATTAAGCGGCCCCCCACGATCATTACCAACAATCTGCATTTGGCTTAGTTGCCGCCCCACCTTTCACGATCCACATCACCCCACCTTCCCCTCCACCCCACATCCACGACTCACCCTCTCTCACACCACCACGCCCTCACCACCACCACCACCACCACCACCACCACAATGCCACTCCCAACCCTCCTCCACTCTCCCCCTATAAAGAGCCGCACCCTCCATCTCCTCCCTCTTCTCCGCACCCTCACCACCCACCCCGCCTCCAGCGCCCCCACCCCCGAAACCACAACCACAACCACCCCCGAAACCGAAACCGAAACCGAAGCCGAAACCGAAACCGAAACCACCCCCCGTCCCCTGATCCGCAGGGTCGTATTCCCCCCCGTACTCGACCCCACCAGGCCCCGAATCCGCAAAGTCGCCGCTCCCAACCCCCCCATACTTGACCCCACCAAGCCCCGAATCCGCAAAGTCACTCCCAACCCCCCCGAAGACTCCGCACCGCCCGTTCGGCGCTACGGAACCGCCCCCACCTTCTCCGACTTCGGAGCGGGACGCCCGCCCGCGGCTGGCGACGGCCCATTGATCCGCAAGACAGGCACACACTGGAACAGCGCCTCCCCAACGATCCGGAAGGAGTACAACTACTTTGCGCCGGAGGAGAAGAAGGAGAAGCCAGCTAGCATTGTCATTAAGAGACCGGAGATGACTGCGCCGGGACATACGGAGTGGAGTAGGGCGGGGCCGGGTGGGGGGGAGCTAAAGAAGTATTTGACGGTGGAGCAGCATAGGCTGGATAGGCCGGAGATTGAGACGACGTGGGTGGACACGCATTGCCATCTGTTTACGACGTTGAAGATGTTGAAGGGAGTGAGTGTTCAATCATTGGCCCCCCTTCCCCTTTCCGAGAGTCAATGATCGATTGGCGGATGGGATGTATATACTGACCTCCGGCACAGACCATCGGCGACACCACGCTCCCCGATGACGGCATCGACACCCTCGTGAAGGCCCTCTTCCCACCGCAAGTGACCGCCGTAGTCGACATCCACTGCGACCTGCCACTCTCCAACCTCCACGAGCACGCCCTCACCCTCGAGTGGCCTCCGCACTTCAAATACTACTTCTCCAAGGGCGTGCACCCGCACTGCGCCATGGACTACAACGACGAAGTGCACGAATCGCTCATCCAGACGATGTCACACCCCTCCTGCGTCGCATGGGGCGAGTGCGGCCTCGACTACTTCAAGAACGACGTCTCGACGCACCCAACACAGCGCACCGTCTTTGCGCGGCAGCTCCAGGCCGCCGTGGCGGCGGGAAAGCCAATCGTCATCCACACGCGCTCCGCGGACGAGGACACGCTGCGCATCCTGCGCGAGCACGTGCCCAGGGACCACCGCATGCACGTGCACTGCTTCACGGCGGGGCCGGTCCTTGCGCAGGCGCTGATGGCCGAGTGGCCGAACTCGTACATTGGGATAACGGGCGTGGTGGGGTACAAGGGCATGGACCATGTCACGCATATGCTCAAGAGCGGGGAGATCCCCGTGGGAAGGCTGCTGCTCGAGACGGATAGCCCGTATATGGCGCCGAGGAGTGCGTATATTTGGCTGAGGGATACGAAGCCCGAGATATCGAAGAAGAAGCTCGCGGTGAGCCATGCGGGGATGATACCGTTTACGGCGGAGCATGTGATGGTGCATGTTAATGCTGGGAGGGGGGAGAGGGGGGAGCCCGAGATGGGGTTGGTGGAGATGTTGGATGTGACGAGGGGGAATGCGGCGAAGATGTATGGGATTGATGTTTGAGGGTCTTTTTTTAGCTGGGGGGGGGGGGAGTGGTTTTGTGCGGTTAGAAGGGCGGTTTATCTTTTCCTTTTTGTTTTCTTGTGTGCATATTGATAGTGATACCCAGAATCTCGGCGGTGAAGCTGCTGGGGCGAGAGAAAAGAAGTGTAAATAATTAAATAAATAAAAAAAGCAGTCTATGTTACAATACGATCCATAGTTTGTCCACAGCTCATTTAGATCTGACAGGATAATTTATAACTGACGAAGATATTTTTTTGAGTGCGTTTTCGACATAATCATTGACCCTCGCCCCGCATTTAGGTATGCTTAATCTGGGTACGGAATCCTATCTTGGGCTCCGTGGAATATATTGTCGCCGTAAGAGCATCTCCTAAGCCACGGGCATGGCTGATGATACCACAGTTACATGTAGTTAGATAGAAGAGTTTCGGTGGCTGTTTTCAAGGAGAGGTCCTTGCTTGACCTGTTGACATATTCAGTCTCTTGTCAAGCAGCTCCCAGCGGGCGAGAAAGAGAAGCCGTGCGTGCATGGAATGAAAAGCTCTTACCATCAAACTAGATATTCATAGCTACATAGCCAATCCAATCTACCGACATCTATGATCGAGGCTATTGTTATCATCTGTTGAAAAGGTTGGACGAGGACGAGACGAGACAGGACGAGTGCGGGGCAGTTAAGTGACTTGATTCTGATCTCAACAAAGAGCCTAAGTTATATATACATGTATGTATATATATAGTCTCAGATCGGACAGCTGTCATTCTTCGACATGACAAGGACAGGTCTCGACACGACAGCTCACCCATACCCGACGTTCAACATCGTTTGAAAACCCGTGCAAATATCCAACATCATCCCGGCCACCGGCCTTAGGCGAGTGATAATTCATGACTAGACTCACAGAATGCATCTACATGTAGTACTCCAACCAAGGCTGAAAGTGGGCTATAAGAGTAGGGCTAAGGGCTGCATCGGAGACGACCTGACCGAAGGGAGTTTGAGGCTGGAGTGGAGAGATACATGCAGTAATCTTTCCCCATGGAGCAGAGACACAATTACAATTACGCACAATGGCTAGCTAAATGCATGGCTGTATTGGAACAGTGTCTGGTGATAACAAATCCTTAATTGGGTTTCCTAATCCTAGAGCGTCTTTAGCCCAGCTGGATCGTGAAGACGGTCAATTGATCTGTATGTTAATTACTGGCAGTTACAGCGATGTGTACAATAGAGGTTAAGGGTATCGTGGCAAAGAAATAACGCCAGGTATGTACCAGCTGGTGTTTCTCACAAGGTGTTTAGCGAGACTCCCTACATACATAATCATCCCAACATCTTAATAGAATGTCCAGACCATGCCCAACCTACATACTCCATATGCATCTGTGGAAGCACATATATAGCTCTTACACATTGTCTACAGAACGCCAAGTTCAATATTCCGCCTGACGAAGCTACTCTAGGGCATCGCATACATTCATTCACCAGTATGTACGATTACTGCCCCTCTATCCCCACCACCCTTCGTCCCCACTTCTCGAGACGTCAGTCAGCTAAGTTTCCAACAGCCCTCTCGATCTCATAGTCACGTCAGCGAGGGCCCAACCACAATACTCTAACTATTGGAGTAAGGAGTGATATAAGACTGCACGGCACCCCAACCCCCAACCCCCAAGGAATCTCTTTCGCCCACGACCAAAAGCGGGGGTGAACCCGAATTTGAATATGACCGAGCTAAAATTAATTTAATGAATCATCAATCAATTCAATCAATCGAATCGAATATGACGTAACGGAGCTATTGAATTGATTGATTGATTGATTGATTGATTGATTACTCCATTTAATTGTATGCAACCCGGCCGGAGGTTATGACAAATATGACCGAGCTAGCTAACTCGCGAGAGGCAGGTGGGAAAGTTCTGGGGGCTTGGTGTGATATTGCCATAGCTTTAAGGCTGCATGCAATTAATGGATTAAACAAAAAAGACCGAGCTAGCTAGAGTACGACTTGATCGAGTGATGGTGTGTGCGCCAAGCCAATATACATGCAAGCTACTAATAAGATAAAGCACCTGGCTGGTATATACTATACATGCAATGCAATAATACACGTATATAGTATCATATCACCCATTGCCGATTACCAACAGCCCGGGACTTGGAAAAAAAAACCGTTAATTGAGATATGTACTGTCGTTCACGGGGTATTGGCGGATACTGCGTGATGGCGGACAGGGCAAAAAAGAGACAGCCAAGCTAACTTTTACCTGCAATTCGCCAATAACCAGTATCCACCAATACCCCGTGAACGACAGTACTTGCAGCTAGCATCACGGTGCGCTGGGGACGACGGCCGGAGAATTCTTCCCTTGGTGCAATTAAGGCGGCCAGTGTACTCTCGTATTTAGATCATGATCATTCAACGTCTAGACTCTACATACATATCCACGTTTACATGATTTATCACCATATTATATATATTGGAGCTCTCTATACGTATTATATTAATATAGAGTAGATATATCGACAATCTACATCACATATTTACACGCACCAACATCCGGAGAATTGTTTTTACCCCCGCGGGACACTTTTTCTGCAACTTTTTCCAAGCAATGTCCACTCCAGATCGAAAAGAAAGCAAAGCAAAGACAAACGAAAAAAAACCGGGTTCCCTCATTCGAGCCCATGCCCCACAAACCCCTGGAAAAGGAAAAAAAAATCACAATCCGCGGTCCGCCCTACACGCCATCATCCATCCACTGCATCCGGGAACCTGGGGTAGATATGGCTGCTGGCTCGTTACCTATCTGTGCACACTGCACACATGTGCACTAGGGGGCACTTCCAATTGCAGCATCACTCACTCGCTCATGCACTTTGCGCCAAATGCGTCCTCACGGGTCTGATCTGCACTTTTTTTTTTTTTTCGTTTCTCAAACGTGCTGTTAAGACCCCCCTCGGGAGGCCGATCGTCACGAGGATAGTTACACGTGTGTGTGCGCGTGTTGTTGTTGTAGGGCTTTATGTGTCGGTTGGGGTGAGTTATAATACTTGCTGTTGCACTATTAGGGCTATGTAGCTTTTCGGGTGTAGTTATAGCTGGTGGGTGTTATTGGTGTGGGTGGCCGCGATATCAATGATTCCAGACACGGGTATTTCGGTGGCTCACTTACCAGCTGTGGATATTGATATGGCCATCTGCTGTTGGTTCCATGCAATAGAGGGGATCGGTATAGTTTTCCAATGCCCGCAGTGTATCGATACAAGCTCTAGGGCAGCAGGCCAGCGCTCATTGACACAGCACTCGCCCGAGTGATAATCCGTGACGGGTATCACCTGTTATCGCAGCCAGCAGGGATACGCGCACAGACCATCACTGCACCTGATCAGCCAAACTCACCAAACCTCACTCAACCAACACCGCACACCCCCCAATCGCAGTCAATTGCCCCGCACACCGCACCGCACCGCCGGCCATGGCTACCACAACCTCAGGCAACAGCTACCGCCTCCCCCCGCGCACCTCCTCCCTCAACCCCCCTCTCTCACCAGGCATCACACCCGCGCGCCAAGCCCAGCTCAGCAGCTCTTCCTACTCGCACCACACCGAGGACCCCTTGATCTTCGAGATTGGCAGCCGTCTTCTGCGCGCCGGCTTTGCGGGCGAGAGTGCGCCCAGATGCGTGCTCGAGTGGAGCAACGAGGTGTTTTGGTGCCGCGAGGGCATCGTGTGGACGGGCGGCGCGAGTACTACTAGGGATGAGGACGGGCGTGGTGGGGGGGAGCTGTGGAGGGGCGATCTGAGGAGTGTGGAGTTGGGGGTTGTGGAGGATGTGGTGGAGAGGGGGGTGAGGATGGCGTATAACAAGTGCGTATAACACCCCCCCCGCCCATATACCTACAGACATCTCCATACCCACATATCTATAGCTAGAGGAATTGAAAACCGCCAGTGATACTGACCACCACTAGATACCTCCTCCTCGACTCCAAGCTCAAACGCGTCATGATTGTGACGCCCCCCCTCCTCCCCACGGCGGTGCTCACCTCCCTCCTCAAGTCCCTCTTCGTCCACTTCCAGATGCCGGGCATCATGCTCCTCTCCGCGCCCACCATGGCCACCCTCTCCGCCGGCACCCGCAGCGCCCTCGTCCTCGACCTCGGCTGGGAAGAGTCCACCGCAACCGCCATCTACGAGCTCCGCCCCGTCGGCCAACCCCACCGCACCCGCCGCGCCGGCCGCCTCCTCCGCGACTTCTGGCGCGACCTCCTCCTCACCTCCACCACCACCTCCTCCTCCTCCACACCCAAAAAGCCCAAAATCCCCAACACCCAACTCGACGACATCATCTCCCGCCTCGCCTGGTGCCGAAAACACACCCACCCCCCACCCCCACCGCCGACGACTCCACCCCCATCGCCCTCCCCCACCCAATCAGCACCCGCCTCCCCTTCAGCGCCCTCGCAGACCCCACCGAGAAGTGCTTCTTCGCCCCCACAACCGTCCCCAGCAGCAGCCCCGACTACCCGGACGACGACGACCTCGCCCTCCCCCGCCTCGTCTACGAGGCCCTGCGCGGCGTCCCCGTCGACGTCCGCGCAGCGTGCATGCAGCGCATCATCATCGTTGGCGGCGCCAGCCAGGTCGTGGGGCTGAAGCGGCGCATCATCGACGAAGTGCGGCTGCTCGTCGAGCGCGAGGGGTGGCACCGCCCCGGCGGTCGCCGCCGTTCCGGTGCTCCACAACCACCTACACCACCACCACCACCACCGGAGGAGGAGCAGGGGGGGCAGGAGAAAGAGGTGAGCTACGAGTGGCGGCAAGAGGACCGCGGGGGCGCGCTCTCGCCAGGGAGTCCAAGGGGTGGGTTGGAGAAGGGGCTGCGGCCGGCGGGGACGCCGAGGGTCCGCGGGTTGGAGAGTATGGGGGCGTGGGTGGGCGCTAGTTTGGTTGCGGGGATGAAGGGGAGGGGCACGGTGGAGTTGGAGAGGGAGAAGTTTCTGCAGGCTGTTGCGGGGGGCGGGACGGGGTTGCCGGTGGGGTATTAGTAGGGGAGCTGGATGGGTGGTTGGATGGGTGTAGATGTAGATGATTTTTAATGAGGTTGGCATGGGGAGTTTAGCCTTTCTTTTTCTTTTTTTGTTCTACTTGAGCTTGAGCTTTGGCTTTGGCTTTAATTTCTTTTAGATATTGGAGTTTGGAGCACTTGGGATAGCAATTGGGGACGGACAGCTACATAGCTAGCAGGTAGTTAGTCGGGGGGTGCTAATGATATCAATGCCACTTTCACAGTACACTATCACTCATTACCCGCCAACACCAAAACCAAAACCAAAACCACAACCATTCAGCCCAGTTCAGTCCACATCCACCCAATATAACATAATATTATGTATGTATATAGAGTAGCAGCAGATAATAATGATGGATAAATTGATAATAGCTACCAATGCCAATGATCGTTAAGCGTCATAACCTCGTAAAGAAGGGGGGAAAAGAAAAGGAAAGATGCAAATCAACAACTAAAGAAAAAGGGAAAACGACAGTTTATAACAAAACCCCACTCCGAACCCAAGAGAGAAAGAGAAAAGAAAAAAAACACCGTTTGAAAAAACAGTTTCCCAAAAAGACCAAGAACGCACAAGCAAACCCAGAAACGACAGACTCCCTTTCCCTTTCCCTTTCCACCCTCTCTAGCCTACCCTAGATACCCTGCCATACCCTATCCGACCGACCTTATCCATCCATCCATACATGCAGCTATACACAGCTATGCTTCTTTTTTCCGTTTATCATCGATAAAATGAATAAAAGAATCAAAAGGAATAATAAATAAATAATAGAAAGAAAAAACACCCAGGATCCCAAAAAATAGCTTTTTTTGACGACGCCGTTTTTTTCGCCTGCTGCCCTGCCCCTTGTCCTGTCCTGCCCTGCATACATACATCCATGCGTTTATAGCATGCATGTCATGTAATGCAAGATAAGAGAGACTAGAGGAGATAGAAGAAGAGGAAGGGTAAAAAAAAAAGTTATACACACAACAGAAAAAAAAAAGAACCCGAAATAAAAAAGACCCAACAAAACACAAGCCCCCCCCCCCCTCCCCGGGCCGAGCGAGAAGAGAGACAAAGGAAATCTAATCATGAAATAAAAACAGCAACGCTTTAAAAAAAAAAAAAAGCCGACAAACGGCGAGCTAGCAGGAATAGTATTCACATAATTGAGGTAAGGGGTAGCGAGATTAATATCCGGGTCCGAGGCCGCCATAGAAATTACCGAGGTAGACTTTATTGCTATCGTTTAGGATCGAGTGCGACAAGTGCTGACCGTACGGCGAGGCCGTGGACGAATGTGTCCTCAGGAGGTCTTCAATCAAGCGCGCAAATGAGGGCTCCTTTGTGGCAAAACTCTCTTCTGCAGGTGCAGGCGAAGGCTTGGGGGCTGGAAAAAAAAAAAAAGATGAGGTGTTAGTATTATTTATCATCGTGATACAAAAAAGATAGCGTGGTGTAGGAGGCGTTGTAGTAACAGCCATTAATATAAAAGGGAAAAAAGTGAACTTACCGGCTGAAACTGTCTGCCCCGCACCACCGCCACTACTTGCACCACAACCACCCAGACTCTTGGGCCTCTTTGCATTGGGCGTTGACGATGACTTGGCCAGCGATGGTCGCTTGTTGTGGAGGACACGGCGGGGGCCAGGGTACACGAGACCCCGGATTGCGTAGGCCTGTCTTCTGTAGACTTCGGTCTCGGCCTCAGCCTCTGCCTCTGCTTCGGCCACGGACTGGGGCGGTGTGTGCGGAATTATGGGTGAGAGGGGGAGAGTGGCATCACTCATGAGGAATATTGTTGTTGTAGTAGTAGCCATTGCTGTGGTGGTTTTGATTATATTATCCGTCCTTTGATTGAGTATTATATGTATGGGGTGTGAATTGCAGTGGTGAGAGTGGTATTGCACTGATTATGGTTGTGATGTGTGGTATGAGTATGTAGTGGGTGTAAATGGGGTGGGAGAGCTCGTGGTTTTGTACTGTGGGGGAGGATGAGGGGAGGAGGCGTTGCGTGCTGGTGGAGTGAGAGTCTCAGGATAAAGGACAAACACCTTCGTGAGGAGTGAGTGGGTATATGTAAGGTTATCGGACCCTTTCCTCGGTAGAATTAATCTGGCTAGTCTAGCCGGGGACAGCAAGCACACTTGCAGGTTCAGATCAGGTAGATCAAGGGTCTCTGCCTAGTCTGCGCGGGGAAAAGCTTGTCTGAATTGGATCCTTGCCTGAGGTTTGTTGTTGGAGGTGAGAAAGTAGGCTCAGCTGGGAGTAAGGTGTGTAAGTAGTTGAAACTTGAAGTGCTCTCTAATTGGGGATTGAGGATAAGCAGGCGGTTGTAGATAGGTGCGTATGGAGTCAGGTGTAAGTACCTGGGCTGGAATGGATGTATGTAGGTGGTCAGGTGTAGTTGCAGGTTGATAGTACGGCCCGAATGTGGTAGAAGTGGTACTGGTAGTGCAGTTTTATGGGAGACCAGGTCAATCAATCACTCGAGAAGGGAATTAAAAAAGGTGGGTAACAGATCGATTCTTGTGTGTGTCCCACCCCCGGGAAGGTTTTATATATACCCTCTCGAGGAAAAAGTAATAACAAATTAGTACCTAATAAACTATGCTACTCGGCTCGTACGGCCCTCACTCTCTCACTTACTCCTCCCTCTCAATTCGTCCTGCACGTATGTACCTACCTTTCTCTCCCTCTCTCTCGGCTCCCCTCACCGCCTTTCGCCCCCCCTCCACTCCCCCATCTATCCCCCTGGCGTACATCATGGATTTACGCAATAACCTACATACCATTATGTCCGCCTGCTTGGTCAGTCGCCCCACGTACATACTAAACCCAGCGGTACATTCCGGGTTTCGTACGGTTTGATCTGCGTTCCCCAGCAAGTGCAGCAGAATTCATGTGTTCTGTAACCTATTAACAACAGGCCACGAATGGATAGCTGCAACTATCTACATACATACGTTTGCTTCACTGCTACTAATGCTGCAGGACCACAACGTTAAACCAACCCCCCAATCGAAACGAACTGATGAAAAAGAAAAAAAGAACAGACCGAGAGGGCCCATGAACCCACTCATGCAGGACGCAGCAGGAAAAAATGCGGGGAAGAAGCGGCGACCGGAGAAACTGAGAACTGATCAGATCGCTCCAATACCACGCGCACCAGTCGATAGAAAGAGGCTCGAGACAGAGAAAGACGATGGAAAACCGAAAAACCGACATACATAGACAATTGATACCGAGCATCCGCGGAGAACACGGTGAGCGGGGAGGACTGTGATTACGAAAAGAAATGAAAGAAGAAAAGAAAAAAGGCGTCCAGGTTAAAATCAGCCCGCAGAAAAAAAAAAGGCGGAAAAGAATAATAATTGTGAAACGGCGACCACCATCACGAGCAGCACCGTTGTTTCGTCAAGGCTTTTGATTCACAAAGCATCACTCGTCACTGGCTCACGGTTGCAGGCCCACTCTAGCGCATCTCCCCCTAACAACATACATATGACGACACCTGCAAACCTCATCTTAACTATCAGACTCCCCGGCGCCCCCCGTACACCCCCGAGTAACAACTCATCGTCCCGGCGGCCTGTTTTCAATCTGGGCTCCATCGTGGTTCCTGCGTCAACATCTACGCCTGCCTACCTTAGCGGGCCAGCAATGAATTCAAAGACACGTCCCTGCGCAGCTGCGAAAAAGGCAGAACAGAAAAAAGATTACGATGTTGTCGATCAATCTGGATCGCAAATATCAACTCTTTAAAGTTGATCAGGGTTGATGGCGAAATTTGTGATGAAAATCAAGGTCAAGGTTCAATTTACCGATCCTGAGTGTTTTTTCCCGAGGTGTCCTTGAAAAGTGGAAGGCCTTTGAAGATGGAAGGAAATGATTGACGTCTTCTCGAATTCCTGTTGGCCACCACCCGACGATCAGTATTCCTGCCACTCAGTAAAACGGAATTCTTGGTACTGCCCTTGAACTATTCCGATTCGACAGGTCTCACAAGTTAGCGTGGGGAAACAAATCCATCTACAGTCGATCTTGCCCTGTGAAGTTACCTAAATTTTCGGATGGAGTATTTTGCTTTCTCCAGTCTGATACAGAATCTTAACAATGCTACAGGGATCCCGTTGTCTGAATTGATATTCCCTGATGCCAACATCGTCGTTTTTCCTTCCGTTACCTCGTATCTGACGATGATGTTGCACATAGCCAGCCACGATAATGATACCTTGGGTTGATGTATAGGTACATACATGTACATAAACGGTTTTCAGCCTCTATTCCAAAAATCTCCGAGCGTTTCCTATTGAGACTACTCCTTGAAGGAACATCGACGTCATATTACTCTATATTACCGCCGTACGGTAATGGTGGGGGATGGTCGGAGCTTTAGCTGCTTTCAACATCACGGGAGTCTCAGTGCCGGTACTTTACAGATGCTGCGCATGTCTTGGGGTTCCTCTTTTACTCCATCGATACTCTCGGCTGGACACCTCGTATTTGTGTGCGGTCAAGACAGAATAGGCGGCTGATACTAATCACCGGGGGGGGGGGGGGGTCAGTTAATATTTGCTGATCATATTATTGTTAATATCGGCTCTTTACGCTCCAAAGGGAACGACTGGATGGGATAGGAGCTCTTCATCTTGGATAAACTGGCTAGAGCAGTAATGGTAATCCTTGGTGGAAGTCTTCTTGCGGAGATGAGTAGCAAGCTGAAAACCCTTCCCCCGATCTGCTTACATTGCCGAATTGAACGGCCGGTGTATCAAGTACACGTACCGGGTTTTATCTGATCCGTGATACTCCCGCGAGACCTGTTTCTGTGCGCTGCCTGGTTGGAGGCGGGATGTGGGGGGGGGGGGGGGGGTTGTTGGAAGAATCGTCGATACGTATGCTGTGTATGTGTGTTACCACTCCGAGGTGCAAGTGCTGGATCGTCATTGTGCAGATATATGCCATCCATGGTGGGAATAGAGTTTTGTGTTAGATGTAGAGGAGTAAAGTACGGTATGTAAGATGCATGTGGGGCCCTTTTCCTTTCTCCTTCCACGTCCCCCGTTCCAACTCTTCTCTGTTACTGGCAACAACGTTGTTCCTGGCAGGTTTCAACACTAGCCGTAACTTGTAGTAGCAGCTGCGGGAGCCGGGAAATGTTGGTTCTAGAAGGAAAAGCTGGTTCCAGAAGGAAAAAAAAAACGAGAAACATGCCGTCATACACATGGTCGGGTAAGCTATCCGCTTTCAATCCTAGCGTACAGGCTTTGGGGGGGCGGCGGGCTTGAAAAAGTCTTGGAACAGGGTTTTGGTGTCTCACCTGTTTGGGCCTGGGCGACATGGTGGATCACTCGGTAACGAATAGTTAGTGGGAAAATTATATTATATTGGTTTTACCCGAATGTCGTTTCTTTTTCTTGAGACAATCGTTCATCCATCATCATTATCATCCTCCGCTATTTTTTTTTTCCCCCCGTTCCCTGTCATGTACTTGGTTCAGTGCTTTTGAGAAATCGAGGGTTGAAACAGTTGGGCGATGTCTTGGGGGTTGATATGATCCAAGTCGCTCCTATTTTGGGTAAAGTATGCTGTCTTTCTAGCTAAGACATCAGCTTTCAACCTCCTCCATCGACCTCTAGATCTCTTTTTCCCTTCATCCCATTAATCCTCCCATTCTCCTATCCTCCACTAGAGTGCGTAAGTATACTCTCTTTTTTATCCCTCTAGTGATCCACATTAACTCTCTGAATCGAATTAATACTATTGAGTAAAAACCACTCCGGCCCTATTGATTGCTAGGTCTTATCAGCATCACATTGACTCTCACCCAGCTAGCTAGCTAGATAGCTACAGGGAGCCACGATAAGAAGGGACAAAGCCCGGCGAACCAACCTCGATACCAAAACCCCCCCCTCCCCAGCCCGGTTAAATCGCAAACTAACTATCCTATCCACCAGCGCCTATAGCTAGCAGTATTTCAATTTTCCAGCTGATATTAGGGAAACACAAACCGCACCCAGCGGACTCTTTTTTTTTTCTTTTTTTTCGTGCCCTCAATCGCAGAAAGTCACAACCACGACTGGGACCGGCGAGGTGCTAGCGAAGACCTCACAGCTCTTGCACAGCGTCTTGGGAGGGACGCTGAAGCGTACGCGGCACAGCGGACACGTGTGGTTGTTGGCCACCGCCGTGTTTGAGCTCGTGAAGGAGGGGGAGACTCGCACGATGGGCGTCGACGGCGTGGGGCTTTGTGCGCCGGAGGAAGGAGAGAATGGCAGACAGAGCTGCAGTAGCGAGCGGAGGCCGAACATGGTTGGTTAGCCGTTGGGGGGGATCGAAAGAAGGAGCGTGGGTGATGCGATGTGTGCGCGTGGTGGTGATTATGTGAGAAGGTGGAGTATGTAGGTCAGCGAGGTAAGTTACTCTACTAGACTAGACGGGGCGGTAGGGACACAAGGCGGCCGGCCCAGCCGTGGAGGATGTGGATAGGCATTGGCTAGTATGTCTCCGGCTTGCAAGCGAGGAAGCGAGAATTCTGCATTTTGATGTTGCAGCATTCAAGAATGCCCGTAGATGCTACTATGGTTTTCAGAAGTAGAGAAAAAAAGTGAAGAAAAAGAAAAGAAAAAGAGACAAGGCAAGGTACCACGATTGAGACATAACGAAACAAAACACCCCTGTGGCTGTGCACAGTGCACTCTACTCTACTGGCTCCTTGCATACACATGTGGCTAACCCACGAGCTTCGAACCAATGATCACTTACGCACCTCACCGGAAGAGGCATGTATGTACCTACCCTCGTACGATAGTAGAGTAGGCAAAGAAAAAAAACGAATGCCTAGATAGCTACGTGGGGTAGCTACATGTACGTACGAACCCTCACGTACATGATGGGGGTATGTGGGTGCACGTGGCAGCTTGTAATCCGCTGGTCTGAAGATCTTTTGAGACCAATTGGTTTCTAGGGGCACATTGGGCGTGGAGGGAGAGGATCCTTTCTCGTTTGCGAGGTTTTGGATGGGAAGGGATTGGAATGCTCGTATGCCTAAAGCTTAGGTTCTGGTTTGGGTCATGAAATCTCACTCGTGGGAGTGTATAACCAGTAAAAGTCATGCCATGACTTCCTCCCGCACGGTCGTTGAAAATTGCTCAGTAGTAAAAAGGGCTCGAGCACAGAGAGTTGAGAGTACGGTACGCCCGGCCTGACCATTGATTGAGCAGAGTCTATATTTAAAGACAATCTTATTAGGGATAAGGGTGAGACTACATAACCACATAATGAGCAAATGTCAAGCATGGTGCAAGCTACTATTATGGAGCTAGAGAGAGTCGACATTACACCTAACCTATAAGGAGGGCTTAAGAGAACGCAAAAAGTACTTCTGGCCGAGGATCCGGAATATATCTTTTTTACGGGAGCAGGTCCGGTCTATGATTTATATATCCGATCCCCGCAACTTAAAAGGATAAAACAAAAACAAAAACAAAATAAAATAAAAACAGGCCCGAGAGGATCCTAACCCCACCTTCTTAGCAAACGTCCTACTGGTGCACAGACAGGCGCATTATTTAACTAGTATATGTACATGTATGCTACCGGAACTGTTGTTGACGGACCGCTAGACACTATCGATTAGATTGATAAGAAAGATATTAATTGCGGGCAAAGGCGGCGTGCACTCACTCACTCTGTTGACATCGACTCCAGGACTACAAGCAGGCCCCGGCAGACGAAGGGATTATTTGCGTCCATTCCCATGGCTATATGCTATTAATGTGACTCATATTGTTCCCTTGCGAGATTATTCAAGTGACGTGTGATAAAATAGGAGAGAAGATTGTTAACTTTATATTTTCCGTCTGTGGCTAGGGATACATAATATTTCTCTCTTCAGCGAATAACCCTAACCCTCGGTATATAGACTGCTTCCCATAAAAATGATTTTATAGGAAATGGAGAGAAAGAAAGAAAAAAAAATTCAAACTAAGAACCCTCTTTCCTATTATCCTATTATTATGCAAGGGAAATTGTCTACGTCAACTTGCATGTCAAGGGTAGAAGTACATGTACTTGAGAAGGGTGTTTTCTTGGCACTCGAGTGATATACTATGATCGCACAAGGCGACTTGCGGGACGACGCACTTTTGCGGGTATGTAGGCAATTGTGTTGCCCAAGTGTTCTCCATGTGCATGTGGTAAATACAATTAGCTTGTGGGGTGAAAGTCTTCGTCCAACACTTTTATAAGCTGAGGATATACACTAGGTCGAAGGGTGTATATATTATTCGAAGGATTGATATAAAAGGTTTCCACCGGCATTTTCTTTGGTTTCTGAACTTTAGAGCGAATTCATAATTGATCACTCTATTATAGAGAGATATATGTAGTTGCCAGTTTCTTGATCAAATTGGTCCTAAGAATACTTCGCCAAAACCTCATGGTGAAATGCATTACTCTATCTAGATCTAGATCTTCTGATGACATACCACGAGCTGAGTGGCATACTTCCTAGCCAACGCCCCAATACTAGCTAGCTCAATCAACGAATTCAACCAGAAAAGGAATTCTATCATTGATACACAAAGCCCAAGTTATTAACAAAATGGGATGAAACGACAGAAGAAATAAACAATACACGATCTGATCCTCAATCAAAGAACTTGACCTCCAGATCTAGACCGCGCAACATTAGGTCCCCAAAAAGCAAAAGTCACGATCACTCGCAATCACCTCGCCGTCTTTGAGTTACTTGTTCCACGGCGCGAAAGGATCATCGATATCATCCTGATCAGCGCTCACGCCGCCCCTACCGCTCACGCCACTCTTGCCGCCCACGCCGCCCTTGCCGCTCTCTTTACCCTCATCACCCTCATCATCCTCTTTTTCCACATCGCCATCATACTCATCATCGTTCTCGTACTCACCATTCTCCTCATTATCCTCATAATCATTCATACCATTGGCCAGGGACTCCTCAACCTCAGAGTCCGTGATCAATTGGTTCCATGGGGCATCAGGGTGAAAATCGCTTTCTCTAATCGGCTCCCTATCTATCAAGTCGTTAATATCTTCTTGAGACATCTGGAGGTCATTGTTATCGTCTGTTTCATCTGTCTCTTCCTCCTCTTCCTCCCCCTCCTCTTCCACCCCTCCTCCTCTTCACTCCCTTCCCTCCCTCCCTCCCCTCCCTCCCCTTCCTGTTTCGTTTTACTCTCCGTATCACCCTCCGTATCTAGAAAAAAATCGGCTGTCTTCCCCTCCGGATATCTTCCAAACCTTTTAAATATATCAAGTTTTTCCCGAAGCTCATCCAAGCAGAAGTTGCAGCACCATTCCTTGTAGCGCCTGGCCAGAGGTAAGTGCTGAAGGGAAAACATTTTGAAAATTGGTTTAGCGTTTGGTTTGTGCCATTTTCGAGGCTCATGAGTATTCTTCCACTCCCGGCAGCTTTTGCATATGCCATTGACACATTTATCACAGAAAAATTCTGTGGTAAAACAGCTCTGTAATATATAGTTAATAAAAAAAAGGAATTAAACTATACGCCCTAATTATAAGTGCTAGGGCGACTTACCTCACAAACATCACGCCTACAGACGCAGCAAAATGAGATCGCTGTATCCTTTTTATATTCGGCTCTACAATTGTCGCAAAAGCGATTGTAATTGCAACTCTCGCAAACCTCCTGTAAACTAGTGGAGGCATGGATTTTGCACTTCCACTCTTTACACATCGTACAGGTATTATGTGGATGGACAGCCATACGACACCTAAGGAATGTTTAGTGTGTCTCTATCCAATAGAGTTATATATGAGCACATACTCTAAGCAACTCTTACCACACTCCGTACACATATTCTGCACCCCTTCGCATTCTGGCTTAGAACAGACATAACTGAAATGTCAACAGAGAAATATGGCAGCATGAAGGACTGGGGAACATACCGATCACATTGTTTACAAAACCCACGTTGGTGCGTCCTCTGGCGCAGAGAATCGCAATAGGCGCATTGCGCAATTTCCTCGATCTCCTTACAAACATAACACCGTGCCTTCCACTTCTCACACATCCATATCGATGACTGAGAGAATGGCTGCTCATCGAAGAGCTCATCCCCAGGATCCGATTTCCACAATCTCAGGCTCGTTTTTTTACCAAAGCATTTCGAGCGTTGGTAATTTAACTTTCCACAAGGGACTGAATCAAGGTTGATCCCTTTCTCTTCACAATATCTTACAATGAATCTATAGGCCCTTGTGGCGCGGGCATCGATTCTGGCATCGAGAGGGAGATATCTTGAGTCAGGAATATATTGCCAACTTGTTTTTGGGAGGCCCCATATCTTGATGACGGAATCAAATTAGTAAATCATGAACTGTGGGTAGAAAACACGACACGTACGTACGCATAAACGCTCCAGGTCGGGGAGAAGCCCTTTGCGTGGGCCTAGCTGCTGGGAAGATTGATTGTAATTCGGAAGGTGTGTATTGTAAAGCGTATCATAGCGACGAGAATTTTCTGGATCAAGAAGAACTTGGATATCGTCCAGAGTAAGATTCGTAGAATACTTTACACTAAGCGTTATCAAGCTTGACCGTTCGGCAATAGCTGCCAGTATCTTGAGCTTGAGAGGTGTCATATCAAGAACCAAGTGTTTGATTGTTGACCAGTCAACGATATCCGAAAAAAGGAAACGATCCAATTCGCCCTGTTGAGAAAAGAAGTCGTACATTATGTTTTTATAAGTGGATTCTGTAGCATTCAATATGATACCAGTGTAGGGGGTTCTATGGTTCGAGAAAACATGGATTGATCCCTTTATTATACGGCAGAGATGCACCGATGTGAGGCATAACTTCAAGACCTCGCGAGTCGAGAAGTTCTTGAAAATAGTCTGAAGAACAGGATAGACCTTAAAAAGCTCCTCGAACTTCGTTGCTGGACGCGCAACGGTTTTGTTCAAGGCATCTGCAGTGGTACCAGTGTAAAAAGGGTCTAATTCTCGTACCGGCTCTGGCAGCTCCAACCACGGTCCTTGTTCTCCCCTTATCGCTCCTGCCCCCGGTACCACCCCCACCATTCTCCCTGTTCCCAATCTCGACCTCACGAACACTCGTTCCCGTCCTGCGTTCGACTCTGGTCCCTCCCCCGTATACTTATCCACCACCACGTCCACCCTCTCCTTCCCCTCCCCCTGCCGACTCGGTATCGGGTCCCCATACTTCCTCCTATAATAATCCAGCACAGACTCCTGCCCATGGGCCGAAAACTGCTTCGACTTCTTCTTTATCCACTCTATGTCTGTTCCGTGCGGCGGATGCTTCATCATCCACTCTCTAGTGACAGTACCCACAGGTGCGTTCTTCTCAATCCATTCCATGTCCACAACTGAGGAGGTTTCCGTTGGGAATACCAAACGACTAGGGGAAACGCGAGCCGGGGTGGGGTGGTTGGTCACCATTGTGTATGTGTATTTATGTGTGAGTTCGGTGGTTTAGTGATGGCGGTGGTGGTGTTGGTGTTGGTGGTGGGAGACGTTGGGTAGGGCTGATGTGGACGGGCTTGAGGAAGTCTGGGACGATATGACAATTTATGAAGGTTTGAGAAGCAAGTTCGTAAAAGTGGTCTTTTCTCCTCCCTTCGTTCATAGTTACGTATGGTAGATCTGGACAGTCCACGTTTTCCAGCGTTGACCAGGCAATGATATGCAGAACATGAATACACCACAGGATTATAGAAACGATAAACTCCCATAACCTGATACCACTTAAAAATTCTACCGCAGGGAGCCATACATACATATTTCCCTTAAACGAGCAGCAGAAAAAAAAAACCTTTGCGGATCTGTATTAACGCGCGAGTATATATTACCGAGTGACATCTCATGACGCCAAAATCTCCGCATGCGCAAACATGACTGCAACAACCCGTCACCAGGCGGCGGACCGGAAACCTTTCCCCGTTCCTACAAAACCATGCCCATCGTATAGACGCCTTCGTGTGGAATGTGGCGTTGCCCTTGGCTGCGAGAATGTATTAATAGATACGAGACAAGACGAGACGAGATCTGGGTTGTATTCTTACGACTGAGTCTTGAAGTCTCGAGATAATGGGTTAGTCTCATCAAAGACCTTTGCTCTCTTCCTCATGACCAGATAGATATATTAATTGAATTTTTATCCCTCCTCCCTCTTCCCTCTCGAAAGAAGAAGGGGATTGTTACGTTGCGCTAATAATTCTGCTATTTTCTTCTTTCCTTGCTCAACTGGAAACGGACGGTATCACTACCACAACACCCCTCCCCCTTTTCCCGGGGCCCGAGTGACAGCCCATGAACCGCCTAGTCTCCCCGGTCTCTGTCTACAGCCAGACCGCCCCACCCCCCTTTCAAAGAAACACACAAAACACAAAACACAAACCACAAAGAAAGAAAAAAGAAGAAAAAGCGAGATAAAAAAACTAGAACCCCCCCTATCATTACCCCCACCACACTACATCTTCCCCCTCGCCAACAACAAATACACATTCTCGCCGACCCTATCATAAAACTCCCTCCTCCTACTCTCCTCCATCTCCACCCCCCCTCCCGTCTCCCCACTCAACGTATCCAAATCCCGCTTCTGGCTGCCCACCCACCTCTTCACAAAGCCCGCAGGGTCCATCGCCATCGCATTCCAGAAGTCTCGTTTCGCCTTACTATGATTCACCGCCTGCACCAGGACCGCAATCTGTTCGTCAATCTGCGCAATCTCGCGCAGTGATGCAGAGTACGCCGGGGAGCTGAGGAGGGCCGCCATCTTGGCGCGGATGGGGTCGTCGATGGAGACGGTGATGTCGTAGACGGTTGGGGAAAAGTGGCTGGCGCTGTCGGTGCGGATGGTGTATGTGAGTGTAATGGGCTCGAGTGGGAGGATGTGCGAGAGGGTGAGTTCGGGGATCTGGGGGAAGTAGAGGCGGTCGACTTGGAATATCTATCTGCCTGTTAGCTAGCCCTTACACCTATGGGAAGAAAAAGGAGGGGGGTTAGGGGTTAGGGGGTAAAGTACGTTTCTGAGTGCAGCATCGCAATTGATAGTCCGCCGCTCATCCGGATCCTGCAGCCCATTAATCCTCACATACTCCCAAATCCCCATCACAATCCCCGCCCTCGTATCCTCCTTCGTATCCAGCAACTCCGCCAACTGGGGCGACAGCCGAAACCGATCCGGTACCTCATCCCTCACCAGCTTAATCGTGCAATTCACATTCTCGTCTCCCTTTCGCTCAAACTCAAACCCATCAAACTCCGCCGGCCCATTACTGGCGGGTCCCTGTGGCGCATTCGGCGCGGGCTTCCGCCACTCGATCGCATTTCCCTCGGGGTGGATATCCTTGTTGCGGTCGAGCTCGACACTGATGCTCTTGAAGAATGTTGAGAACTTGCGGCGCGGCGGCGGCGGGAGTGGGTTGTTTGGGTCTCCGAGGCCGAGGTCCGAATCCGGATCGAGCTCGGAGGCGTCGTCGTCCGCGTCGGGCAGCAGGCGGCCCTCGATGCGCACGCGGAACGTCGGGATCTGGCCCGTGTCAAAGTCGAACGCGTTCTCGTCGAGCGGGCGGTCCGAGTTCTGCCACGGCTGGTCCTTGGCCGTGTTTGAGATGAAGAGCCGCAGGGTTTTGTAGTTCTACTCGTCCTCCTCCCCCGGGCGCCGCGACAATTAGAAAGATCCGCACTCTCACACTCACACACATGTCACTCACCTTGACATTACGATTGACCGCATCCTGCACATCCAAGCGCTTCCTCAATATCGTCGCATCATACCTCTTCTCCATGTCCCTCAGTTGTCTGTACAGGGCCACCGCCGGCACAATCTCCTCGACGCCCTCGGGGATGGTCTTGTCGGTCGGCTTGCGCGCGCGGCGCTTTGCCAGCTCGCGCTCCTGCATGGCCTGCTGGTGCTGCTGGTTGATCTGGGCTTGCGTCAGGTTCTGGTGTGGGTTTCCGCCGGACGAGGCAAGCATGGGGCCCGGGCCACGGCGCGCTGTGGGCGGAGGTTGCTGGGACTGGCCGGGGTAGCCGCTGGTGCGTGGGAGGGGGGTGTGGTGGGAGCGGTCCATTGCGAGGGGGCCGAGGGGGGGGGGGGGGGGGGATATATGGATTGGGGGGCGAGTGTGGTGAGAGGGGGGCGAGTGCCGTGGATTGATGGTGGGGTGACGTGCGGTGATGTGATGTGATGTGATGTGTCTGTGTGCGCGGGCTTTGTGTTGTGTCGCGTCGTCGTCAGTCGGGGAGTCGCTGGCCCGCGGTGGTTTTGGTTGTCTTTCTGGAGGTTTTGGTTTTCGTGTTCCTGGCGGTGTGGGCGTGTGCTTATGTAACACGCGCGCTTTGGGAAAGGCGCGTGTGCAGGTGTTCCGTCATTGAATATCACTCGATACAAGAGCTGCTCTGGAAGTGCTCGACTGGTGCTGAAAGAACAGGCTCTATGTGATGGGTGGAATAAGTTTTCATCTGAACGAGATTAGAAACGATTATTATATATGAGTAACATTCAGATATCATAAGTATACTAACCGTTTCCATGCTGTTCGTGCTTGAGATCTCGCTATCAGAGGTTCTGCCCAGATGTAGGTATGAAGGAGTGATGATGATGCTTGTATCAGGTCGGTACCGCAGCCAGATATTTTTATAGAAACTGAGAAACGAACAGATATGCCTAACCGACTCCAGCCACGTAACCGCCGCATCGTGCCGCAACATCTGAAAGGTCTCGATACAAGAAGATGATGCCGAGAATGGATGGATTACATAACATTAGCATGTTATTAGTAACTTACATGTATGTAAACAACTCATTTGGACCTTTCCACCCGAGTGATCCCGCGTGATTCCATTCTTTCACAACCAACAGCTCGACATACATCTCCGAACAACAACAACAAAAGCAACCACTCCCTCGCAACCCTCCACGTAAAGCAAGACCCCCAAAATTTACCATCAGACGACTCTCTAGTACACGTACCAAATCCCCCACAACAAGTACAATCAGCTGATACTCATCTCATCTCAACACCACACTAGCCAAGATAACTTTCTGGTATATAGGCGGCAATACTACATGTATGTCCATCTGGTAATACACCAACCCCACCGCCGCCCTCTCTCTCTCTCCCAACAAACTACTCTAGTACTCCCACCCAAAGTTCAAACGCGTAATCCTCAACAACTATTCTATCACCGTGTCATAAACCGTGGATGATTGTTATTATTACTATGGCGTAAACTGACTCACAGAACCCACACGAGTGATACACCATGACCAGCCTAAGCATCCCCCAATCTTGGCGGAGCATGAGTTTCTGATCACTTGACTACATGTACATAATGCGGCAAGGGTATATCCCGAGTCTTGGCAGTAGATCATATCGAACATGAGAAAACTCCACGAAAAGAAAAGCAGCACTTTTTTGATGGCCGCTTATTGTTTAAACGGCTTACGCTATGGAACCCGCCACACAGTCACAAGAGAGACCGGCCAGTGCTTTTAATGGGATCACAGGAGACAATGGCCGGATATTCCAGCGCCCTGCCTCGCGGCCCATACGAACCGCTCTATCGGAGCCTTTTTAGCTGCACGAACTGAGAAGAAAATCAAGCACTTCGACAAAGCGTCCTGGACACCGACTTGCTTATTGGGCAAGTGTCTCCCCAAAAGAAAGAACGCAAGAAAAAAGCTACACTTTCTGTCCAACTCGCTTGAATTTCTGCCCAATTCGCGCAGCTATAAAGTCTCTATTCCGCCTTGTAAAAAGAAAGAACACAAAACCCCCAAATCCGTGGAAGAGCATACCATGCACCGTGCGGCGGTAATCGAGCCAGAGCTCCTCTATCCAAGCTACCTACATGTACCCTACATACATGGTGTGATACATCGGCGCGGTGTGGTGACACCGAGAGTTATACATATGCGTGGCACAATCGGGAGCTCGGCAACTTTTTCTCTTTCTTGTGTGACAATAGGTATTCGTGTGATGGCAGTCAAGCAGAAAGAGCGTTCGGCGTAATATTTTCCACCTTGGAAAATCTTATGCTCACGGCTCGCCCCCGCACCAAAAGCTAGGACGGTCACATATGTATGTACATATGTGCTGGAGCAACAGCTCTCAAGATTGGAACAGCATATGCTGTCGAGTGAGGGCTCGTGATTGATCGGCATAATGTATGCCTGTAAGGTTTGGCATTCTTGGCTGCCAATGTTGTGTGGCTATGCTACTGCTGCCAAGCTTAGGGCCTTGGTATGTAGATAGGTTAATGTCGATATATTGTGACCAGCTGTACAAGCGCGGAGTTGATTGAGGAGTACCGTTAATATCTGATCGAGTATTCCTAAGAACTAAGTACGTACGAGGAGACGGATAATATTCGAGCAAAGTAAATTCCTATTGCATATCAGTATGATGAAATTTAAAGCCTAATGGAATATTCGAGAGGCTATGCGCAGCAGAGACCCATCGAGGGATGGTCAAATGAGCCTTGCGTTTTACAATCATTCTCTCAAAGATTGAGACTGCATTCATCTCTAGTTCTCTGAAATTAGGCATGGGGGTAACTATGCATGACGGAAGTTCTACCAAGCTAATAGGCGACAAAAACCTTCTTTCCAAAGCCACTATATGGACTACCAGGCCTCCTAACCTTTCTCCGAGTGTATATTGAATGCTTCCGTTATTGTAGGTGCCAGTAGTATAGCGATCGGCAAGACCGAAGGTTTGAATGTAGTATGTAGGCTGTATCTACAACCAGTGCCGCTAGGCTCAGTATCAATAAATCTATCACGCACAAGGCGTTCTTTCCCTAACTTAATTTCCTGGCCTTTCTTTGTAATATTCAACAAAATCCCAAGAGGTCGTGATCAGCAGCCTCAACGGTATCATAAGCAATACTTTCAATGTATGCAGCTTACAAAAAATCACCAGGTGTCGTATATGAAAGGGACGGCCGCCGAATGGTTACCTAACAGAATACCCTCATAATAGGCAGGTACATACTTCGCCAAGTGAAAGTTTCTTTGCTGTGTGGCCCTGCATAAATTGTCGAAACGGTTCTGCGCTACTTGATATCTGCGATCTCGAGTTCTGAGGAACTCGGCGCACGTGGTTCCACCCATCATGACAGGTCCAGGAAGGAGAAATGCGCCTTGCGATATCCGTTAACCCGCATGAAATTAAGGTTGCCAAGGCGCGAACAAAGTGAGGATAAGCGCACAAGGGTTCTGCCTGTTCCGGTGCAGGGTACCGAATGTATATATCGTTCTGAGAAGGCACAGCGAGTGAGTGAGTCACAATACTTTTGATACCCCTAAATACCAGCCAAGTGTATGGTAGGTCGATCAAATAAAGAGGTCTATTTCTTTGTTTGTCGCCGTTGATCTCGTAGCATTAAGTCAAGAGACTTTTTGACCGCCTATCATTCAACCGCATTGGGAGATCTCAAGCGGCTAAAACGGACTATTACCGCTGGAATTGGAATGTTGTTGTGAAGTCTAAGCCTTCTGACAGTGCCAGAATGGCGGGGCTCGGTCCGTGGCCTACTCGAGCACTGTAAAATACCTAGAATCACTGTTTAAGAAAGAGAACAAATTAGCCCAGGTCTTGGATGTTGTGGCTGATTAACAAGATCGAATCACACCTCTAAGCCACTGTTCTTCAGAACCTTTTGCGTGACAATCCGTTAGCGAGCTTTCTGGAGTCTTTCCTACCGGAGATTTATGACCTCACCATGCCTGCTGATTTGGGACAGAAGGTGTCTCAAAAGAAAAAGAATACCAATCCCCGTAGAGTTTACCTTTCCCAAGTAAGCAGTGATCTGGTGACCTTTAACGGGAGCCTCGTTCCGCAGCTGGCACAGTCGTTTGTTTTTGGAGGCTCTAATAATTGCGGTATTAGTTGACAAGTATGTTCAAATGGTCCGGATTTCGTTTCGCGGAGAATTATATTAATTTCCTAGGCAATTTCTTTAACGGGAGTTGAGTCCTCGAAACAACGGATAGGTCGGCGTGTCATGTAGTGCATACATGCATACAGACATCTGTTGGAGCTGTGGGGGCGCACGGATCAATAGCTTCGCTTGTGGTTGTTGATGTTGAAGTCTCTAATAATTCTGCCTTGCAAAAGATGGCATTTCAGGCCCTGCGAGATCTCAGATAGAAGTATGAATACGTTCTAAAGAAGGCTCGCAGGAGGTCCAAAGTAGTCCGTGTAATCCCGGTCACATTGATGTATCCTAGAGTAGAGTTGTAGCCACTTTCACTTTAGGTAACATTGTGATCCTGTGCCTTAAGTAATACGAGATATGACTGCGGGGTTAGTGTGGATAGATGCAAACAGGTGAGCAAAGTATATGTAGGTAGTCCCTGCTGTGTTTGGTTCGATTAGTTACATGTCTCGCATAGCACCGCCCGCATCTTCTACGATAGTTTGTGTCTGGCCTGATCAGAGCAGCATATAACAACCATCATCTGCCCTCTTTTCGCTCTTTCAGACCACACCATATCACCAGAAGTCAATCCAAAGCTTCATTCAACTAATCATTTATCTCCACCACATCACAATATGAGTACCATTGAACCCATCAAGACGACAGAAAACGCTTCAAGCAGCGGCGGCTATGGAGCCACTTCTTCTTCGAGCACAAACCCTCTAAAGAGGTCGTCCGACACTGGTGCACCTCTCATCAGCGTGCAACCAGCAAAACGCAGCGATCTACAGCCATCATATGCCCAGTTGCTTCCCGATGACAATGACGCTTCCACTACTGGATGGTATGGATCTATGAGTATGTTTCCTCCTAGGGATTAATATCAGTGGTCGTATTCTAATCGAATATTTAGTCAGCACTCTTGGTTCTACTATTGGATTTCTGGGCGCAATCCCTTGTTGTATTGTCTGCCCCAATCCGTATAAGCCCGTCCAGCAGGGTCACGTTGGTCTCGTTACCCGTTACGGCCGTTTCCATCGCGCAGTCGATCCTGGTCTCGTCAAGATCAACCCTCTATCTGAGACCCTCGTGTCTGTCGATGTCAAGATTCAGATCTGTGAAGTTCCCCAGCAAGTCTGCATGACCAAGGACAACGTTACAGTTCATCTTACTTCTGTGATCTACTACCATATCAACTCACCACACAAGGCCACTTTTGGAATCGCAAACGTCCGCCAAGCCCTCATTGAGCGCACCCAGACCACTCTCCGCCATGTTGTTGGCGCTCGTGTGCTTCAGGATGTAATAGAGCGTCGTGAGGAGATTGCACAAAGTATTGCGGAAATAATTGAGGATGTTGCTACTGGATGGGGTGTTCAGGTTGAGAGCATGCTTATTAAGGATATCATTTTCTCCCGCGAGCTTCAGGACTCCCTCTCTATGGCCGCCCAGAGCAAGCGTATCGGAGAATCTAAGATTATTGCAGCCCGCGCTGAAGTCGAGTCTGCAAAACTGATGCGTCAAGCTGCTGATATCCTTTCTAGCGCTCCGGCCATGCAGATCAGACAGCTCGAGGCAATGCAGGCTATGGCCAAATCGGCAAACTCTAAGGTCATCTTTATGCCAACTTCCAACCCTGGACTTCAACACCAACTTCGCGCACGATTGGGCGAGAGCTCTGCCTCTAGCCCGACTCTCGAGAACTTTGGCGACGATTTCGACGCTGATATGCAGAGGACCATCAATACCCATATTGTCTCCGAGTTTTAAAGCTCTTGGTTACCTATGATTTAAGCAAGGCAAAACAATTTCGATTTATTCTCTAGGATGAGGAGTTTTTGTGGTGGATTTTTTTCTATCGAATTTCTTTTGTAGTTCCGCTATGAGTATTATGGTAATTGGGATTGGTTTGGGAGGGGGTTTCTATTAATTCGGCCACTGATTACTTGTTCCTTTGCATCGATTTTTCTATAATTTCGGGATGGAGCGTTAAAGGGCTGCCATCTAGTTGATGGAGAGCTTCTGTGTATCTTCCCGGATGATTATTCAGTTCATATGTTATGATAATTCAATGAAATCTCATGAATCTCCTTGTATATTCGGGGGGGGGGGGTAGTACTGAAATGTGCTCACATGGATCGTAGTACTACATTTGAGTGGCTGAATCTTCAGATATTTGGTATTGCATTTATGAGGTACAGAAACACTTTTCTGCCCCTTCACACAAAATATGGCATGCGACCCTAAGGGAGCTTCCCTACAAGTACTGCATGATCCTCTAAGATATACAGAGCAGAGATACCCATGCAATCGACCCAGGAAATCATGATAACGCACTCAAAGTCTTTGTCCTAAAGGTTCTAACGATGCTACTCCGTATCCATATACTAAGGTCCCATTCTAATAGATTGTTCTCCAGACCTCACCTCCTCTGTTAACTACACCTTGTATATAAATATGACCTGCACATACTAAACATGCATTACGATTATGATTACATGTACGATATGTACCTACAGTATGTTCTAATCTATTTAAAACCAAGCAACTCGTGTCAAAATAGGATTGAATGGGAAGATATGAAAATAGAGTAAGAGGAAAGAAAACTTTAGAATCAAAGAAAAAGCGTGTACGACTTGAGGGTAAGAGTGAACGGTATGTACAGTTGCTAATCCGAACTAGGTATGAATTAGCTAAGATGTGCGAATAGTGCGTATCTCTACTAACCTTGATGTAGTAAAAAGCTCTAATTTATGGAAAAGAGACATCTCCGTACATATATGACCGATAAAGAATCATTTCGTTGAATTTGTCAATACGCACATCCCGTACGCGCAGCTTCGATATGAGTTTGCAAGAAGCTTTCATATCGGACCAATTTTCGACTTTCCATTCCGATCTCCAGATCCAGTCAAATCTATGGGTTACTGCATCGAAATCGGTAAAGAAACCAACTATAAATTCCTTTTTCCTGCCACAGCCGAAATTATACTTGAGCTTTCGGTAACATTTCCTGATAGCCGCGAGGTCTAGTTTTAGACACTGGAGGAGGTCACGGTGGTGATTTGTGATGTGTTGGCGATCATGTTTATACGTTGAGTCGCAGTTCTCGAGAAGAGACGATCCCCCAGTAGAGATCGTACGGTTCAATTGTTCCCAGGCCGGTTTCGTTTGTAAGGCACATACTGGCCCTCCATTGATTAGGACGGAATTTGGGGAAATCTTTGGGTCCTCTAAATAGAACTGCGGTGCCTCTTTGTGCGCAATGTCGGCTTTCTTGACTAACTTCCTGAGACTTTTATACTGGGCCTCGATGGCTTTCTCGAGGGACCTTAGATTTGAGAGGGCTTGCTCAGTGGTTCCCAGAATCTTTTCGGGGGCGGCGTCCGTGTAAACACTCTTGGATTTCCTGGATCTGCTAGCTGTTACTATAGTTCTATATTCTGAGCGGAGTACTTAATATACCCAATTCCCGCAAAAATATCAAGTCCCGAAAAAAAGTCGATTCTCGCAAAGATGTTTTTGAATTCCCATTTCTTTGCCATATTAATTGAATCTGAGAACGATCTTGAGAACGATCTCAACTTCATGATAGTTTTGGTTTATTTTTTGGACTGTCGTAGTGTTAGATTTGACCCAGGACCTCAACTATTCTTATATTGATGGATGATCTTACAGAAACCTTATGCCGAGTCGTGTTCTGATAGGTATTTTTGTAGTTAATTGAGCGGGTCGGTCTTGTGTTGAAGGATTCTCGTGTGAGGTCGGTTTTTGTGGGAAATTCAAATCACAGGGGACTGTCTCGTCAGAAGTTGTAAATGACGTAAATACCGGAGAACGGTTACTCTCTCGCGTTCAAGACCCATAGTCCGGCCCCGAAGGGCTCTGTTTCAATCAAAACGGTTTCTTCTGTGTATCCTCGAGGCCATACTATGTACCGTGCGGGATAAATTGGTATCACCCCGCTATTATCGGGCGGTCGAATAGGCCTCCTATTCTCAAATTTATAGAATAGAGCTAACTACTAGATGCTATCTACAGATTTTACATATAATTCAATGAATTACAACAACACCAACTCTCTGCAGGTCGAGGGGCATGGTACCTAAAACAATTTTATCAACCAAACGATTCCCAGATCAGCCAGAACCTAACTATTAAGGACCGGGGTTTTTACGAATGTACTAGTACTATTTGTGATTGAGATAAGTTTTTTGAAAAGCTTGGAAGGCAGCTACTAAGCCAATTTCAAGCCACAGAGAAGGCATTTTTTTTTATCGGTTTGTAGATATGCTTTTAAGCTGTTAGTATTCGATCCGTCTCTCTCCGGCCCTACCTCTAGGGTTTTGCTCAGGCCTTTACTCTTGCTCAGATGTGTGGAAATTGAGGGATGATGGTTGAACTTTTCGACTACCGCAGCTTAACTTATAGGTCATAAAACTAACATTCCCTGGTATCAATTGAGCTCTGATTCACCAGGCGTTAGGGGTCCCCCCACCACACAAAACTACATAGTACTAGCTATCAATAGCCAAGAAAGGTACACGGGGAGCTTATTCGATAAGGAAACGGAGCACATAGGTTCATCCATGGCCGGGCTCGGAGCGGTACCATATTCCAACTCGTCCACGCTCTACCGAGCTGTAGAGTATTGCTAAGATTTATGCTTTACGCGCGCTGCGGCCTTGGCCTCAAGCCAGATATTGTATATTACCACTGTGATATCTACATATAGACTAGGTACTCTACTCTAGGTGTACTCGAATTGCTGAAATCTCATTACTGGATTTAGCTCCAAGTTCTGAATCAGGGTGTTGATAGCATTTTTGCTCTTTGGGGAGTGGTATACCTTTACGATTGTCAATTGAACAGCTCATGATCAACCACCAACTACAAGACCCCTGGGGAATGGGTGGATTTTCTTTATACGGGAGGCGAAATAGATCAGCTAATTTTTGGGAATTGATTTTCAGTTGGCATCCGCCCCCAAGGCGTCTCAAGCCATATGTTCACAATAGGTAACACGAAACCTCCTCATGACGTGGGCCCTCAAACCCGTGAATTAAGCCATGTGTAGATAGGTACATACCTTGCGTCGTCTTCTTCTTTGAATTGGGAATCGCATACAACCACAATATAACTTATCATCGTCAACTGGAGTACCGCTGGCGTCCAGATACTGCCTCTGGTTGGCTCATACCCCTGCTGCAGCGCAACGAATTTTCTCAAATACAGCGGTATTAGGCTATCGATGTAGACACAACTGCTCACTCGATCACTATTATGGGATGATTGATCTGCTCAGGTGACACAAAGTGCATCTGCAGTCGCACGAAAATGTAACGGGGCATATCCCGCACCTCGTATTGAGAAAATCGATCGTTAAGACCAGGCCTATTTGAGATCCTTACATACCGCATTAATTCGTTCGAACGGCCGGTCACACAAGACGTTGAAATTCCCGTATTTGGTTATTTGTCTTGAATACGCCCCCTAATCTTCCCTCATATTAGCTTGAAAAGGCAACTTCGACGTCTTGTGTGACCGGCCGTTCGAACGAATTAATGCGGTACTCGCGGTTGGACGAAACCACAAAATTTAAGGATTTATATGCCGAGCTTTAAGATTCTGGTTACAGTCTCAAATGCCCAAGCGTGCTCGATCGAGATGGTTTAATTATTGAAAGCTCTATTCGGCACGTGTCATTACGCTGGTACTGGACCTAGCTGTAGCTCCTGCGAGGCTGACACAAAGATCGACAACAACTCTCAGCTCCTAATAAGAGTTTTATGACCTTGTGGGCGCATATATAGCGCCCCAAGATTCCTACTTGAGTTCTAGAATAGTAGATTACTCTACATCTTTCAGGATGACTACCTCCCCTCAAGAAATACCACAGCCGACCCAAAGCCTTGTGATAACTGGACGCGTCTGCGACACAAAGTACGTCTTTACCCCGTCTAATGGCACCGACGTCCGCTATTATATTCTAGCGCCTCCCAAATACAAGAACAGACGCCATGCCGACGGTTGGTCTGCTATTGTCCACGCCGGTGACAACCCAAAATACCATTCACTGGCTGAGTCACCGCTAGTTGGAAGATGCAAGAGATCGATGTTTTGGAGGAAGTATTTTATTGAATATGGTGGATCTGTGCAGAAGGATGTTAAGAAAGATGAAAAGGCAATTAAAGAGACGAAACTTAAGTGGGAGAATAGATTCAGGAAATGGTTCTGCATGAGTCCCAAAGATCTTGTGTGGTCGGAAGAAGAAGAAGCTGCGATCTCAGACGAAGAAAAGGGTGTTGTTACGGAGGCTACAAAGATGTTGGAGTTGGAACATACGGGGCATAGGAGATATGAATTTGTAGTGGATGGAAGGACATACAGGTGGTCAGGGACGAAGATGCATGCTGGGAGATTCATCAACAAGCTGGGCTTGAAAGGGTTCGCCTTTCATGTTAAGGTAGGTGCACCCGCATAATATAGTGTTTCTATTCCCGCCCATGTACTGATATGCTTAGCTGGTGCGGATGGAGGATCATAAACTCATCGCTTCGTTTAAAAAATGCTACCTGGGAAAGAACGGTAGATTCGGGGAATTGAACTTTTACGGCAGCGAGCCTGAAACTGGTTTGGAGGAAGTGCTGATCGTACAGACTGCCTTCTGTGTGACTAGGGCAGAAAAGGAGAAGAGAGACAAGGTACGCGACATCTTAGAAGAGATAGGCGAAAACGCTGGGGGTTGAGGATATCTATATACTTGGGCCAAATTATCAGCTTGCAATTGGGGGACACGACATTCATTAATTCATAGTTAAAATTTCTTTTATCTAAATTTCAATTATAAGTGGGAGTCACGTTAAGGTGTAATATACATACATGTATCTTTGAACTTGAGAGTTTGAGTTGGGTAACCAGCGCCTATAACGTACTTGAATAGACCTTCTTTTGGAGGCCAATACTCCCAACTAGAATTATTACTCGCTGCTAGTAGTGGATGCCAGCTCCAAATGGGTTTCATTAGATGACTAATACACCTTGGCATCATGGCGGGACGACTCCATGAGCTTCAACGCGGGCACCATGAGAGAATCCCACTTTGACATCGACCCGCCATCCATCAGCATCAACAACAACGTTAATCCCCTCATTTCATCCCTTTATCATCACCACCATCGCCAATAATCAGTATTCACCCGCCAATAGACAATCAAGATGGGTCGGTTAGAAGATGCTCAAGAGCTCGCAAAGACAGACCTGCCAAAGGCCGAGGCCATCTACAAAGAGATACTCTCAACGCCTCCTGGGATGAACGATGCTGCGCTGAGAGACTACGAGTTAGCTCTAATGGAGCTAGGTGGGTTGTATAGGGATAAAAGGTTTGTTCGAATCTAGGGATCTATTTAAATCTTGGTATTGGGTTTAGGAATAACTCCGTGGGATGGATAGACGAACACCTGAGCTTGCAGAGTTGATCAAAACGAGTCGGTCCGTGCTATCTGCATTTGCGAAGGCCAAGACTGCTAAAATCGGTATGTTAATGGTTACCTGTATCCAAGGGCAGAAGAATAGAGATGAGATGCTGATCGTCCACTAGTCCGTCAACTGATTGATCTCTTCACCACGATCCCCGATACCTTGGATATCCAAATTTCAGTCACCAAATCTTGCATCGAATGGGCTATTTCCGAAAGACGTTCTTTCCTTCGCCAGAATCTTGAAACCCGTCTCATCGGACTCTACCTCCAGAAGCACTCCTACACAGAAGCCATAACTCTCATCAACTCACTCCTTAAAGAGCTGAAAAGACTCGATGACAAGATGGTACTTGTAGAGGTCCAGCTTCTGGAATCTCGCGCCTACCATGCCCTTCGAAACATCCCCAAATCCCGCGCATCACTTACATCAGCCCGTACATCCGCCAATGCTGTCTACTGCCCTCCACTTATGCAAGCAGGTCTCGATATGCAGAGTGGTATACTCCATGCGGAAGATAAGGACTACAACACTGCGTTCTCGTACTTTATTGAAGCCTTGGATGGATACTCAACTCAGGATGATTCAAAGAAGGCTATTGCTGCGCTTAAATATATGCTTCTGTCAAAGATCATGCTGAACCTTACCGACGATGTTCACCAGATCATGACCGGAAAGCTCGCAATCAAATATGCTGGTCGTGACATCGAAGCCATGAAAGCCGTTGCCCGAGCGCACTCGAACCGGTCATTGGCTGAATTTGAGCAAGCTCTTGCGGATTTCAAGGCCGAGCTAGGATCAGATCCATTCATCCGCTCTCACTTCACGGCACTCTATGATACCCTACTAGAACAAAATCTTGTTCGAGTTATCGAACCCTTTTCTCGTGTCGAAATCGAGCATGTCGCAAAATTGGTGGGGCTAGGAACTCAACAGGTTGAGGGAAAGCTAAGTCAGATGATCCTTGATAAGGTATTTTCTGGTGTGTTGGACCAGGGAAGTGGATGTTTAATTGTATTTGATGAGGTCGGTCGTGATAAGAGTTATGACGCGGCGTTGGAGACGATCAAGAAGTTGTCTGATGTGGTTGAAGTGCTTTATACCAACCAAGCCTCCATGCTAGATTAAGATTTTAGCATGTTTGTTGTGCCTAGAAAATGAATAGATTGTTGATCCGGGCAATTCGGGGGATAAAAAGAAATTCACTGTATTTACTAGCAACTTCGCTTTTTCACCTATCAATCTCGCCGTCCACCATCTTCAAAATCTGATAAATAATAATCTGAATTACTTCCCCAATAGTTGTTGAAACCAAATAAATGCGCCATCGAGCCATACAGATAAAGACTACAAATTCTTAATCTCACAATATCGTGCCGATCCTGCAACACGTATAACCCAAGCTATGAATCCAATACAACCTAGTGTCACCTACTCATCATCCCCTTCTTTCTCTTTGATCTCTCCTCTTCCTTTAAATCCGGTCATGGCTGTGTCACACCCACTCAACCACCTTAGCCCACGCTGGAAACTAACTGGGAGAATATCCATAATCCCAATCCATCTCGCATACACTGGCATTGCAATGATACCACCAGCGCCCTCATCTATGGCGGCAATGATTTCTTTCGCAACCTCCACGGGCTCCAACACAGGTGCAAAGAAGTTACTAGGTGTATCAACTCCTTCGAACATTGGAGTTTGCAGTTGACCAGGGCAAACAAGGAGGGTTTTAATTCCTGGATGGGTTCCTGCAAGCTCTGCGGTCACAGAAGAATGAAACGCCTTGAGGGCGGCTTTGGAAGCTGAATAGGCAGATGTGTTCGCAGGCGCTACAGAAGAAAGAACAGAGGAAATGGTGATAAGTGAGCCTTTGTTCAGGCGTTTCATGCCAGGGAGGAACTGTTTGGTTGTGTAGAATGCGGAGAGGGTGTTGGATTGGAAGGTTCTATGAGCCGCTGTTAGTAAGGTATCAAGTTATAGTAATAGTGGAAACCTACTTCTCGATTTCATCATAAGTCAGGTCCAAAACGCTCTTTCCATGTACAATGGAAGCGTTGTTGATCAGTACGGTAGGTGTCCCTAGGTCTCTCTCAATCTCCTTTGCTGCAGCCTCTACCTGCTTTCGGTCCCCAACGTCGCATTTATAGTACGCGACGTTCCTAGCCTCACCACCTTCAGGTTCACGGACATCCAGTACAGCAACTGAGACCCCGCGCATGCCGTAGGTTTCAGCAATGAGAAGACCAAGGCCACTACTACCGCCAGTAATCACAACGACTTCCTCGGTCCAATCAAATTCGCGCTTCTTGCCAAATGCAAGTCGTTTATTGATGAACTTCCATACGAAAAGAACGATGACTATACCGGCGTATATGCTTGAATAGATGAAGGGGGGCGAGTTATAGTGGTATGTCTGAGCACGGTAGGCGAGTGGTAGAAGGATTGCAAAGCCAGGGTTCATGAAGGTATGGCTGAATATCGTAATGAGAAGATCGACTATAACTAAATTAGTAAACTGGCATCTAGTTCATGTCAGGAAGAGGTCGAAATACTAGTGAGGTGCTCTAATAGAGGTTTATCGCTCTGGAAAGAGCTTATAGATGGTGGTCCAGACATTACGCTTGCACTGGTTTAAGTTATGAGAGCTATTATTAACTGTGGATTCGTGATATTTTCCAGGTGTGAACTAGTATCACAGCTGTGATGCGTTTCGAGTACAAGAACGAAAGATCAAGGTGACGATTAATGAGTTGAGGATATGAGATTGAAGCCGGGTCAACCGATGGATAGTAGAACGTGAAGTAAGGAGAGAACAAGGCAGAGGGAGTGGAAAGGAATGAGGGGAGCGGGAAAGGAGGCATTCGACAGTGGGATCAATGATTGGGACGTCGAGATGTGATATGGTGTGGTGTGATGGGGGTTGGCTATGGTTGGGACAACTTGACACGGAGGTGGATCTGGTCTCCAACCGCTAATATTTCAACCACCACACCCCACGTCCCCCCGTCCCCCCCCCCCCCTACAACCAGCAAAAACCCCTTGAATTGATATCTCGATATTCTGTTTAATTTTGAAATCTGTTGTAGTAGTGTCGATCGCGAGCGAACATCACACCAGAACAGCAATACTACCTAAATAAGTATATTTTGGCTTAAAAAGATATTGGCGTACAAAATCACTACTTGGCGAGTATGAGTTAAATATTTAGCGCTGTGGGGTGTCCCTGACTCCCTGCACAAAGGAAAGCCTCCGGCGCTTAAGAAACCACAAACGTTCCGAGTACTTAACTACATGTATGTAGCAACTGGATAAGCCTAACCCAGATGTAAGTACATTATAAATTCTCCTTAGTAGTACATACATGTAAGTACATGTATGTACGTGCGATTCCTAAGTTATCTGATGCGTGGAATGTTGAATTAAAGCGAAGCTAGCTAGAAAAGCCATGAAATAAACCTGAATTAGCGGAGCTACATGTACCATAAAATGTTTAAGCATTAGACTTTAATTTTGAGATCAATTTAAGGGCCGGATTATCGAAGAAAGAAGGGAGAAAAAAAACACTACGGGCTCATCAGCTTGATACGAAGGAAGTTAATCGTGAGTACCAAGGTCCAAGAAGCCCTAAGAGACAGTTATACTTTGGATCACAGGACATCACTTGGTCTGCGATCTGTTGGTGTTCTCGTCGCGGGATGAGTTATGTGCTTGCATGATTCCTTTGATTACTGCGTAAGCCTTCTGATCATTGTAAACCAATAAATATCAGCGGTTGTAGTATGAATTTATGGCTGTGTGAGTAAGTGTCCATCCGAATCCCACTTTTTATACATGTCGGCACATATATAGAGAGTTTTATACTACATAAATACATGTAATGATTTCGATTCCCCCTAATAAGTAAAAATTTAAGAAATTCAAATTAGATGCCTGGGTAGAGATCGAGATTTGCACCACACCAGGAACAAGAAAATCCAAATAGATATTTTGCTATGACCATGTAAAAGCGCTCGGCTCGAATTGAGGATTAATCTGTAACAGATATGTGCCATACCAACCACACCAACTGTTTCTTTACTCGTCGTAAACCGTGTTCTTGTCGTATAAAGACAGAAGAGCAATTCACAAGAAAAGAATATAATACTATAGAGAAATGTTCTTCGTGGTATACAAAGTAAATGCGCCTTATGTGAAACCCATCCTCCTGGAATGCTTTTGTTTATGTATCATGAGAGCTTGCTTCGTTTCCCCACGCACAAAAAAGCCCAACTTTTGTTCACCTAGTTGCTTGTATTTTATTTGTTTACCCACAAGAACCCCCCCGCCACGAAGAGAAATACAAAGAGAAGTGCATCTAGAACCGCAGAGCTGTAACAGAAAATTCATTAGCAAAACCTTGACTACCAAATTCTCCAAAAGTGACACTTACGAGTGAAGAACCACTTGTTCTTTCCGGTCAGATACCTCTCCTCGAAGGCCTTCTTGATGGTCTTCTTGGCATCCTCCCTCTGTGAAGGCTCCTTGAAGGTATCCTGAGAAATGACTCCCTTCAGAGTCTCGAGCTCGAGAGTGTAACGGGTGGGCATTAAGTGGTTGTAGTTGATGACCTTAACGAACGGCTTGACCTTAGAGCGACCAGCAGCCTTCTTTTTCGACATGGAGCGGGTGACTCTAGAGGGGTAGCGTTCGATACCGGCAACCAAAGCGTGACCGAAGGGGTGGGACTTAGAACCGTCGTCCATCACTAGTTAAAATTGCAGATTTGTTAGACTTTGAGATTGCGCGATTCGGAAGTGGGGGGAGCTGATGTGCTGGTTCGATCTTGGGGGAGGGGCGGAGGAAGCGGTTCGGACTAACCCTTGACGATGACGACCTGGGGAACTTTATCAGCAATTGAATTCAATAGTTATTACAGGATTATAAGCTCACCTTCTTTCCGGCGAAGCGGCCCCGGGTGATAATCGCGACTCTACCAGTCTTGAGGACTACACCGACAAAAACGTTAGTTCTCGTTCTTCCAGAACTATTCCGTCCCACTCTCATAGTATCCGTCCACCTCTTTCCCCCAGTCCGATTCCACCAGAGCCTCCCTCTCTTTCCCGCCGAGGCCTCCTAAACCCATCCAGACACATTCCCCCACCGAACCGTTCCCATCCTGCCACAGCCCAAATCCCTGGATTTTCCGGCAAACAAAAGGAGGAGAAAATTGCAACACGTACACTTCATCTTTCTGCTGGAGGGGTTGTCGTTGGGTGGATTGTTGGATTGTCGTTGGGTGTCGTCGTAATTTGGTGGAATTTGGCCGTGTAGAGGAAATTCAAACAGCCAGGAATCCACTGCACGAAATGTGTGGGCAGGCAGTCACGGTGGGATAAATGGCTTGGCATAAATCGGATTAGATTGGGGTTTTGCCCTGATGCTTGTAGCAACCAATTATTACTACATGCATGCATATAGGTACTTTTCTCGTTCTGCAGGCTCTAGTTCAATTTGCGGATAAATTTCAAATAGAAATGACAAGCAATTCAAGTTCAATACATGTGGTGAAGGCCCGCTACCATGAATTTATTTCTCTTGGATCTACATGTACTCAGATGAAGATATGTACTCCCTACTACTTCAAGTGTTTCCCATGGGTCTAGCCGGGACTTAACACACGCTGATCTGGCGATACAGCAGTGTAGATACAATATTAAATTTGAGAACGGAGAAATCGGCGTTTAGTATAGCAAACCCTACGAGTTCTCTGCATATATCATTTGAGCCAGAGCGTGTATCCAAGTCATGTAGTGGTTATGAAATCTTTGTAACTACATAGGTTCATGTAGGTACTATTGCTGGCCACGCGAGGCTGGTAGTTTTGATGGCAATTCCCAGCGTCTGGGGGGCAGTTGAAGTGGAAGGCTTAGATTCAGCCTATGTACTTTACTTTAGGTCTACATACTCTTCTTTATTGTTGTTTCTCCTTACGCATGATGCGTGTAATAACGCCTTGAAAGTGACCCCTTAGGGTATGGTGTTGACGGCGTATCATGTAGAAAGACTTTTAAGATGAGCTCGTTTGTGGAGATCAACGTTGTTGTCTCGGTTATGAAGCTCGGCACCAACCGATGAGCTTCTTTCATTTCAGGTGGACGGTTATCTAACCGGATAAGAAATAAATGCTCTAAGTAGGTGCCACATCATCTGCCAAGACCTAACAGTTGCTGCAGCAACGGGCCCTCGTTTACCATGTTTTTGCTATGCAGCCACTCAATCAAGCTGGCGGGTGTTGATGTTTACATACCAGACCTGCAGGAGTGGACAGGCCAGCTGAGCATAGGAAGGCGCACATCACTCGCATCGCATACAAGAAGCACATACACACGGACTACTTTCCCTCATCGCCTTGTTGCTTGCTTCAATATTTGTTTCTGATAAACACATCGCACTGCTTTTTTTGTTTTTTACTCATCACCGTGGCCCACGAAATCCACAGAGAGAGAATTAGAATATCGTGAGTGTCCCCTCTTCATACATCTCATTCTCATCAATTATAACCTATCCCTTACTTCGTTCCTTTCTCTCAATCATCAGAATCTCACTCGCTCGTTGACATTAGTGAACATAATCGATCGAGAATGCCGCCTACACCAGGCAATCCTTCCACTACTCCGAAGGCTTCACGGGATATCGTACATATCCCACCAATGTTTGTGTTCTTGCCTTTTGCGCACTGTTTTCAGTTTCTCATGACCATAGCTTTCAAAACAATGCCGTTCGCAACACTAGCAATCTAACGGCAAGCCGTGATAGGTGGGACTCAGCGGATCCTACTCGCCACCCCCCTCCTTTGCCATTGAATCCTAACCCGTTTGTTCCTGGTAGTCCTCGTACGGTCGGACGGATTGAGAGCCCGTTTCTGGCGTCCTCAAGTCAAGCTCAATCGCGGGAGATATCCCCCATACGACGTCCTCGGGAGAGCTCGCCACCAAATGGCGGGGGTGTCATCTCTTCGCACAGGCGACTGAATTCCGCCCAAGCTACATCTAATATTCGTGAACTTGGAGGCATACATGCGAATGGTGGTGCTCCTCCCCCAGTGCCTGGACACGCAAGCAATAGGAATAGTACCCCCACCCCGAAAGAATTGTTTGGGACTCAGAACAGTTTTCCAACCTTGAGAGAGTCTGGGAGCCAGCCTAATCTCCCCGCCAATCATCCACCGAGTTTCCCTGCGCTAAGAGAATCTGGTAGTTTCCCTGCAATGAAGGACTCAATGCAAATACCTGGTTACCGAAGCTCATTGGACCTTGATAAAGTTCCATCATTACTTCCCCCAATGCGTGGATTCAAATCCCAGGAAAGCTCACCCCCGGGTCCTAGTAATGCTCTTGCGGCATCAACTTTCTCAACCTCCCCAAAAGAATCAAGGGAACGGGATTGGAGTAAGGATTCGCAGGAAAAAGAAATGGAGGACCGACGCAGGGATTGGGAGCGAGATGAAGTTCCTAAGTTTACAGTTCATGACCTCGAGACTCTCACATCTCAGCTTTCTGGACTCACATCAATCGCTAATAGCTTGCAACGAGAAATGGCAAATCTATCTCGCCGTTCAAAGGATAACGCTACCGATCTTATATCTCTGAAAGAAGCTACCAGAAGTAGAGACGAGGATATTCGGACTAGTCTTCGTGATCTTGTTCATAGCCTCCGGAACATGGAGAACGACAGGTTAAACGAAAGTCACAATTCATCTGTTCCTATGATTACCGCTGGATCGAGCAGTAGTCGCGCCTCAAGCTTTGCCAGTGACCTTGCTTCTTCGAAAATTTCAACAGCAAGCTCTAAAGCTTCTAGTATCGACAAGCCGAATATCGAGATGCAAGCACTTGACAAGATCTTGAAAGATATGCCCACAAAAGAAGAACAGGAGAGATTGAGAGTCCTTTTACACGATGTTCAAGAGACCTTGAAGTCTCAGGCCAACAAAGTTGAAAGCGAGAAAAAGGTTTTATCGTTACTGGAGGAGTTCAAGGACCGGGAGTATGCCAGGGGCAAGGAGCTAGCTATCCCTGGGAAACTACCTGAACAAGCAGAGGAGAAGATTATGGCTATGCTACACGATCTCCGGGATGATCTCCACCAGCGGGAACCAAAGGAAGTCGATAGACGAGTTTTGTTCATGCTCGAGGAGATTAAGCAAAAGGACGTAGAGGATGAAGAGCGGATATTTTCTGTTCTGGAAGACTTGAAAGAAAGAGAAGGGGACGAGCGAATCGAGACAGTTCTCTCCTTACTTCAAGAGCTTAAAGAGCAAGGGGATGATGCCAAAGTTCTCTCTTTCTTAGAGGAAATAAAGGTCAGAATCGACAGCATGACCACGGACCTAGAAAAGTGCGTTAGTGCGATACAAAACAAACCAAAGTCGGAATCCTCTCCCGAGTCTGAGTCCAGGTCGACCGATTCGATTGCTAGCAGCGATCATGTTCTTGAGGTTTTGAATAGCGTGAAGGAAGGTGTTGTTAATGGAGGGGATATAATGGAAGAGGTCAAGAGTTTATTAGAGGATTTTGTGGAAAGGAAGGGTGGACAAGATCAAAGGGAAGCCCAGCAGATCCTAAAAGATTTGATGAAGGAAATTGAGGTTTTGGTAACCGAGCAACGTCACGCTATTGCTAGGTTGAATAATTCTTCGGGCCTCCCATCAACTGCTCTCACTTTCAATCCCCCACTCCCGCCAGATCTCGATAATGAAGCCGCTATCACTGCCCTTGCAAATATTGCATCTACAACCACACGCACAGATATCACCCTCTCTTCCATCAATGCTCTCATCAAAGTATTTCAGAAAGACGTCAATCATGCGAATACGCATAGTGCTGAGAGTCTTTTGTCCGTCTCCAGGTTTTTGGACGACCTGCAAGTGTCAATGGCTGGTACGAACTCCCAAGCTGGGGAGATGCGTAAAATTATTGAGGTTATTCGGACAGGGGTAGGCAACACCAACGATCAAATCGCCAAATTTGACGGTTCATTCTCGCAAAAGGTCGAAGAGCTTCTTGACATACAGAAGCACATGCAACGAATACTTCTCGGCAACGAGGACGAATATATCTGGAAACAGGATGTAGGAGTCAAAGCGTCTGTCGAGGAGCTTCGAGGTGAAGTCGAGGATATGATGGACCGGAATACAGAGTCGCTCAACGAATCCACCGAGAAGACCATCGAGGCCATCAAGAACTCGAACCCAACCCCCCTCATTGAAGAGTTGAAAACAGCACTTGCCGCTATGACCGAGAGAAGTCTTCAAGCTTTAAGGGATGCTGATCCAAACGAATCCCTCAAAAAGCTTAGGATTGAAATTGCCGAATCGGCTCAAAAGACTGTAGAAGCTATCAAACATGGCAGCTCTGAGCCCACTGAATACTTTAGAGCCGAGGTTAAGGATCTATTAGAGAAGTCTTTAACATCTATTGATTCAAAGGCCGATACAGAAGGGGTAACAGAACTTCTCATTAGTATGAAGCGAGAGCTAAGGGAGCTTCTTGCCAAATCGACTGCATCGAACTTGAGTGAGTCTGTGGAAGTGAAGCTTGCCATCCAGACAGTCAACGCAGAGATGGAGGCACTGCTTGAGAAGTCACTTAGTTCAGCAATGTCACTCACTTCCTCTCATGCTGATAAAAAAACCAGCGCTGCGATCTCGGGGTTGAAGACTGAGATCAATGACATCATGTTTAAAGTAGTTACTATTGCGGATAAACCAGACAGTTCGGAGAAAATTCAAGAGTCGATTGAAATTCTCAAGTCGGAGATCACCGATCTTGTGGATAAGTACACAACCGCCCTTGCTCCTTCAACGATCCATCCCGAAGCAGAGGAGATCAAAGCTTGCATTATTTCACTGAGCAAAGATCTATGCGATGCCGTGGAGCGAACGGTGGCACTCGCCAATGAATCTTCGGCTGAATCTAACCTCACAATCAAGACAACAATCGAAGAACTCCGAAGTGATATTGGCGAGTTGGGTAAGTCAATGGCAGCAGCCGTGACTATCAGTTCTGCTTCCAGCGTTGAGGAATCAATTAAGAACGCATTCGAACTGATGAGAGATGAAGTTCTTGAGAAAATTGAAAAATCGACCGCTTCTTTTGGGATGAATGACAAGATGGCCGCAGCTATCGAAGAACTCAAGAAGGAAGTCAATGAGGCAGTAAAAAACAGCATCTCCTTAGCTGTCGCTGCTGTTCCTGAGGCTGATCTCATCAACAAGGCACATGAAGCCCTCGAACGCCTCAAGGAGCAAATTTCAAACATCATGGACAAGTCATTAGCTACAGTAGGATCCGGGCCCGCAACTATTAGGAACATTGTCGAAGGTCTACAAAAAGAAGTTGTTGAGATAACGGAGAAAACGACATCTATGCTCGCCCCATCAGTATCGGAGAAGAGGACCAAGAAACTACTTGCGGATATCAGGAAAGATATAGTCGACATGCTCAAGGAGACACCATCGCCCAAGTCTAGTATCGATGCTGTAAAGAAAGCCGTGGACGAGCTCCGCAGAGACGTTTTAGACATTCTTGAAAAGTCCATTTCAACGGCCCCTGCTCCGGCTAGTGGTCCCGATGCCGAAGCTACCGTCGACCCGAGTGCCGTCGAAAGAATTGAGAGCACTATCTCTGAGCTCAAGACAGACATCAGCGAAATGGTAGAACGAAGTCTGGCCGCTGCTATTGCAAACTCTACCTTTGACTCGGAAGAGAGCGTGAAGGAGGTAATCGAGGAGCTAAAGAAGGATGTACGTGATATCCTTCAAATGTCCATCGTACCAATCGGCCCAGCAAAAGAAGACACCGTCGGCCTAGTCAAAATGGCTTTGGAAAGTTTCAAAGATGAGCTCGGAGCTAGTTCTACAACAAAGGATTCTAACGGATTGATGGAAGCAATTATAGAGCTGAGGACTCATGTGACTGGGATGATGGAGAGGTCTAAAGATGATGAAATAAGAGGTGTTTTGGAGGCATTGAAGATTCAGGTTGAAAGGTTTTCTGGGAGTATTGCTGGCGGGGCGGCAAATGAGGGAGTCAATGCGTTGAGGAAAGAGGTTGAGAGGCTGGCAGAAAAATTTGGTTCGACAGCAAAAGAGATGAAAGATGCGGTAGAGGAGTTGAAGGCGAAGGAATCAAAGCAGCTTCAAGTGCTTCAAAGTTCCAATGATGTCGAAGTAAAAGCGGCTATCGAAACTCTGGCGAGTGAGGTCAAAGGGCTGGGGATAAAAGACACCGTGGATACTCTCAAGGCCCAAATCCAGGAGCTGTCTGAGAAGTCAAAGGACGAAGAGATTAAAGAAGCTATCGACTCGCTGAAGCAAGATATTGAACAATCATTGGACAGATCTATATCTGCTCTCGTCACCCCCAAATCGGAGAATGTCCCGGTAATGAAAGAAATGATCGATACCCTCCGAAAAGAATTATTACAATCCGTCGAAAAAGGGTTCGGGGCCTCCAAAGACTTCGAAGCTGTTCGGGAATTGACAAAAGCTGTCCGGGAACTTATGGAAAGACCGATCAAGTTTGGCAGTGACGCCGGCAGCGACCAACCTCCTGTGTTTGATAAAGTGGAATACAGAGTTACCGATAAACCTGGTGACAAGGCGGACAAGCTTAAGGTTGCAGTTGATGTCCTTAGGAGAGAGTTCTTGGAGATGATGGAAAAGTTTTCTGGAATTGTTAGCACATCAGTATCGGCTCCTGAATCTGAACAGGCGTTTGAGGACATGAGGAATGCAGCATTCGAGGTTAAACAGGCGACCTTCGAAGTAAAGAAGTCTCTGGGTTTGATATCAAAAGGACAGGCAGAAGAGAATGAGGCAATTTCTGATATCAGCTCTGCCGTTGGTGAATGTCGGGTCGAGGTAGCTGTGGTGAGAACTTTAGTCGAGGAAAAGAACACCGAAGTCAAAGAGGGTGTTTCAGTTGTCGCAAAAGCTGTCAGTGAATCCAATGTTGAGATGAAGGAATTGGTGGCCGAAGTCAAGGATGGTGTCGAAATACTTCAAACAGTCACCACTGAAGGCATTCTTGGCGTTTCCAGTGTGGTCTCCGAATTCCAATCTGAGACAAAGGAAGGACTTTCTGGAATTAGCGACAGTATTTCTGGGTTCCAAACAGAGACCAAAGAAAGCATTGTTAATATCAACACTTCTATCACGGATCTCAAATTCGAGGTGAAGGAAGATATTGCCGGTGTTAAGCACATTGCGTCCGAAATTCAGCTGGGAACGACTGGAAGCATTAACGATATCAACAAAGCGATTTCTGGGATTCAGACTGAGACTAAAGAAGGAATCAGTGACGTAAAGGGTGTTGTTGAGGACATGAAGGCGGTGGTCGAGGAAGAGATTGAAGCGGTTAAGAAGGCGGTTGAAGGTTCGAAGGTAGAGACCAAGGAGGCAGCAGTCGGTATTGAAGCGAAGATCGGAGCATCGGAAGCTGGACTCAAGGCCGCTATTGAAGAATCTAGAAGCATGGTTCAAGAGAACATCGACAGTGTGAATGCTGCAGTTGAAGGATACAGCATAGAAGTCAAGGAGGATGTGTTCGCTGTGAAGAACGCTGTTGAAGAATCTCATACAACCACCGTTCAGGAACATCACAAGACTCAGAAGCAAGTCCAGGAAGTCATGGGTCTCGTGGATGTATTGCAAACAGAATGGAAAGGGTCACAGCCAAACTTGTTCAGTGCGCTCTTGGAGTTGAAGCATCTTCTTCGGGACGCGCAAGACTCGATCGCTAAAAAACCAGACTCAATACCTCCACCACCTGCCTACGACGACTCCCAAACACAAGAGAAGCTAAATATATTGTTAGCGGCCGAGACCAGGACTGCAAAACACCTGCCGCAGCTAGATCTTCTGACCTCCATTCAGCGGCAAGTCTCTACTACTTCAGCAGATATCGCGGAGTTTTTAAATATGCAAAAGGAAGTTCTCCTCGAGGATGCGACTTCTAAAATTGACGCCGCCCGGCAGGCCGAAAACGACTTGGAGAAAGCCAACACAGAAAAAAAAATTGTCGAGGCAGCGACAGCCACACTTCGAGATGAACATGCAAATCTTCAGGATTCCATTGAGGTTTTGAAGGATGAAACAGAGCTACTTAACTCTCGGAGGCTTAAACTTACTGCGGAGGTTGCTGGTCTCGAGACCGCGCTTGATTTGAGGAGGGATGAGTTGTTGTTGCTTGAAGCCAGAGCCGAAGGTCTAGAGCGACGAGTTATTGAGGGCGTCATCGAACAATCCCGAGCACTCCTCTCCAAACCACGTTCGAATAGCTCTCGCCTATCAAAAGCCGGTGTTGAGGCTATTAGGATGAAGGCCCAGCATAGCCCTATTCCTCGAGCTTCCGCTGCGCCTGGAAGACGTCATCTTTCTTTGAATGAAATTCCCGGCGATATCCCAAGCACCACAAACCCCACAAAACCTACTAGAGGCATCAGCGGTACCATTTTAGGCTTGGGGCAGCATGAGTATTCTGCCAGTCTTGGACTGCTATCAAGGAGTCAATCTACCAGGAGTGTTCGTGGTACCCGCAAGAGCAGTTGGAACCTGAAGAACGGTAGAACGACCTCTGGGAATGAAAAAGAAAATGAAAGGGAGTCGCCGGTGGAAGAGGAGGAGATTGATGATATCAATGGGGACGAAGGCGATCATGTGGATATTCTGAGGGATGGATTGATGGAAGAGGAGGAGGAGGAAGAGGAGGCAGAAAATGGATTCGATGAAGGAAGAAGGAGCAGTAGCGGGAGTGTTAGGAGGTTTGCAGATGAAGAGGATAATAAGGGTAACGAGAGCTCTAAGCGAAAGAAGAACTATCCGGCTCTGGGTCTCGATTTCTCGGGTGAAGGGATTGATAGGAGAGATCTCAACAGGCATAGGACGCCTAGTGGTGATAGTACAGGGCCTTAGTTAAGGGTATTTTTCATTTGCTTTCTACTTTTCTCTCCTTTCCTTATCTATGGTTGTAGAGGCTGCAGTTAACATTTCTATTGTTATTATTATCATTGATACCATGCGTTTCACAAGGGCTTGTATTATGGAGCTTGGGCTACTAGGGTTTTCCTTTTCTTTATTAGTGCTTTCTCTCTTTTTTTCTTCTTTTTTTTCGTATGAATTACTATGGCATGATTTTGCTTTTTGTGCAGATTTTATTACTCTTCGATGTTTAGTAGCTTTGAAATATGCTTGTAGTAACGGTTAACTACAAATTAATGAGCTTCAATTTATTCACCTGAATAAGTACTTACCTAGTACTTCAGCACGTTGAGTAACAACCACTCCTTAGACCTATTGAAGTAAATACATGTATTAAATTTACCCAGTAAAGGGCCTGGTTGGGGGTTGCGCTCACGTAGGTCTTCCAAGTGACCCTTACTAAATGATACAAGCTGGTTCCGGCCTTTGGCCGGTGGGGATAACGAAATAAAAAAATAATGAAGAGTGTCACCAGAGATATATCAATGTGTACTGCCATGTCGCTCCGCTGCCCTGCTAAAGAGATGTGTACCTATACCGCGCGTTACTATATCACAGCCAATCAAAACCTTTAAAATACACATTGCATACTCAGTAATATCGCTATATACTCGGGTAGTCGTATGCCCTGAACGAAGAACCTGAATTGGTTAGGAAGTGCCTCCTCGCAGCTACGCAGCCTCATATGACTGATCTGATTGTAATTTTTTAATGAAATATTGATATGTTGTTATGTAGTAGCTAGTTAGAGAGCGATATAAGCTCTTACCCCCTATACCCTTCAACTTCGTTTAGGGTACTAACTACATAATTCTAGTAAACACTTGATTTCGCTGCTAAAACATCTATTTTGGAGGGGACAGCTAAAGTTTGCGTGGGTACTTGGACTACATTATATGTAAGTCGGTGTCCCTCTAAAGGCCAAATACATACATGCTCGTGGTTTTAATTGCGTCCTGTCAGCTTCTGATGTGAGACACAATAACATAACACCTGATATGTAGTATGTACTATTCCTGAACTGCTGCCGTCCCTGTTGACCCTCAGCACCGGGGCCGTGAGGACATTCGAGTTTCGATTTAAATGACATGTTCTCATTGAAATTCACCCTTAAGAATTATGCTAATAGAACATAGAGAAGACATCGTGGCCGAGTGGTTAAGGCGACAGATTAGAAATCTGTTTCGTTCGCGAGCGTAGGTTCAAATCCTGCCGATGTCGTTCTAATGCATATCAACCCCAGTTACAATTATCTCAGCGCTCTCCCCAGAGTTGCAGAGGTATCTTGCATATTTTTTTATTTCTTAAGGCGTTAGGTTGGATCCAATCGTGTTACTCAAGCCTAATACGGAAGTCTTGATATAAACATCGCAGAGGAGTGCCCATCATGAGGTGACCTATCAAGGTTTTGACGATAAGAGCTAGTCAATAATGTAAAATCGTGAGGAGTTACAGTTTTTTTTATATGACGACTTTCGTATTGGGTTTGGGTAATACGATTTGGATCCGGTCTAACGGCTTAAGGGATTAGCAAAAGGAGTGAAGTGGCTAAGTTTAATTTTGGTCAAGTTAGTACAGGATCTAGGCTAACTATTTCTTGGCTCCATATATTTTTCCAGTTCTGTTCTAGGAAACTCAAAGGAACACAATTTCTTTAATACATAGTACTTGCACGTATTCAAATTTTGTCGAGTGATATAATATGATCCATTGTATTTTCTTTTGGTACATGTATCCATTGGTACTTTCTGGTCGTACATGCGCGGACACCCCTGTTAATCGTTGCCAAAGCTTATTTATGAGACGAGAGAACAATCTCCAAGACATGTAATTGAGAGGTTGGGTTTGTACATCCCTCATTATGATCATGCTGTGAACAATATTTAGCCTCGTCTGATACATTTACTGCTCTGGCCACGGGGCTGCGCCACATACAACAGGATTCACCAGCTACATGTATATGGTATGTGAGCTTCCCTGCACATCTGAACACTTCATAACATAAACCTGTCATATATCTATACCATAATATAGTAAGCTACTACTACATCAGTGTACTTACGTACTAAATTAATTATCTGAATATTAAATTCCTGTAGTCCGGCCGGCCTACTAGTATCAACTCTACATGTAGTATAACCTCTCTAGATTACATTATATATACGAGGTTAACAGGGTATTCTGGAAAGATATTATATTAGAGTACATGTAGTTCACAACATATACCAAGGTATAAACTAGAGCATCTTCTTCGTATACGTAACATCGCCTGCGGCAGATATATATCATAGAAACCGATATGGGCCACGGCTGGGTTTTACAACCCAGAGGCCACGGCCATCCCCGATAGGTCTTGAAATACCCCAAAGTACTCTCACAAGGAAGTTGTATGTGTTTAATTGGTAATCTTTCAAAGTATATACCTGATAGTAGATTGAGTACTGTACTTAAGCTTGTTTAAACTCGTTTTTTCGCGTGGTGTGGTTGTGTGTGTAGACTCCCAAGAGTTGAGCATCGCCGGGATTTTTTTCTTTAGCAAATCTCTGTAGTTGAGATCCCTTTAATTTCAATCACTATAAAGATGTCCCTAGACGTGTTACCGGTGGGAGAATCAATATGTACATACATCCATTATCTTCGTAATCAGCAGGTACATCAGCCCCCATCATTATTACTACCATCGATTAACACCGCAATGACACATGAATTGCTAACCTCACATAGGCGCATGAATCTAGGAGGGGAACACACAGAAAAACAAAACTCAATCACATGGTATCACTCGTTCAATGTTTCCCCTTGGGTGAAATAAACCAAACGGGGTTTGACCTGGAATTTCATGCAACTCGGTATTCTATGTCTCTTCCCACTCAAGGAAGATAGTTATTGTCCAGGAACACTTCATTTGAGCGTTGGCTACGTACCTGTACAGGCTCAACAACCAAAATGCGCGTGACTTTGGCACTAGCTGAGATACCAATATAGAACAGGAAGGAAACGGAGAAAATGACCATGTAAACATTATCGCAGAAACCCACGAGCTTACATGCTCATTTAATGTCGTTGCCATGGGAGGCTCCGGCAATCACTTACATGTATATAGACATGGCTGTACCTACATGTAATTACCACAGCAAAAGCCCTGAGCCCTGAAGCCTTTAGTTACCCGCCAATCGTTGTGGTTTAAGAGGAGCTGAATCAGCACCCGCCACAGGATTCAACCGCTAGTCGCATACCAAGACTTCATCTAACTTTTGAACCCCACCTAACAAGACCTTTCTGTTAGACGGTAACCCCTCATTTTGTTTCGCGATTTCAGCGCAGTACCTATAAACCTCCACCTCTTGATTCATCGCTAGGTCAGGTAGCATAATGTCTGATAAACTCACTCGGTATGGCCTTCCAATTCGTTTTTTGGGGTTACTAGAAGGCAACGTAGCTAACGTTAGAACTTTGGTGAAAAAGTATCGCCATCGTGAGCACGGATAAGGTAAGAAAACCTCCTCGTCCCCTTCTTTTGCTTTTTCTCTTATAGTGTTGAGTCGTCTTTTTGCTAACTGGCAGCTACCCGACTACAGTGCAAACCGAAGGTATGAATATTCTAGCGGCGAACTCCGGTTGTGCGCAAATTCTAAAGTAAAATTCCTGCATATTATAGAAATGTCGACAAGAATGCAAAAAATCGTGTCCTGTTGTAAGAACAGGAAAGCTCTGTATTGAAGTGACTCCGGAGTCCAAGATTGCTTTTATCTCAGAAAGATTATGTATTGGATGTGGTATTTGTCCAAAGAAATGTCCTTTTGGCGGTATGGATCCCACATTCCAAGATTGATGGCCGACACAAGAGTCTGATCTTCTCACTCGATAGCGATTCACATCATCAACTTGCCGACAAATCTCGAAACTCAGGTGACGCATCGTTACTCCGCGAACTCGTTTAAGCTACACAGACTTCCTACTCCACGCCCTGGTCAAGTTTTAGGTCTTGTGGGAACCAACGGTATTGGTAAGTCGACGGCGTTGAAGATTCTCTCGGGTAAACAAAAGCCAAACTTGGGAAGATACGACAACCCACCGGACTGGAACGAGACTTTGGCATATTTCCGTGGATCAGAGCTTCAAAACTATCTTACCAAGGTCGTTGAAGATAACATTAAGGCTGTTGTAAAACCGCAATATGTCGATAAGTTGCCACAGGCTATTCGTGGGAAAGTGAGATCTGTCAAAGCACTTTTGGAGGGACAGTGCCAAAGGGATAACTTCGATGAAATGGTTGATATTCTTGGTAGGGGTTTTATTTTCCTCCCGTGGATCGTAAAGTTAGTAACTTTATAGACCTTCGCCCGGTTTTGGACCGTGATGTCGAGAATTTGTCTGGTGGAGAGCTTCAACGTTTTGCTATCGCTGTGGCATGTGTTCAGATGGCAGATGTGTAAGCCTCCCCCCCCCCCCCCCCACACACACTATTTATCTTCTTTTTAACGGTATTCTAGCTACATGTTCGACGAGCCATCCTCCTACTTGGATGTTAAGCAACGTTTGAAGGCTGCTGGAACCATTCGTGGTCTCTTGAGGCCGGATGATTATGTTATCGTGGTCGAGCACGATTTATCTGTTCTTGATTACCTTTCTGACTTTATTTGTGTCCTTTACGGTAAACCTGCCGCCTATGGTGTTGTTACCCTCCCCGCGTCAGTCCGCGAAGGCATCAATATATTCCTCGATGGTCACATCCCCACCGAAAACTTGCGTTTCCGCGAGGAATCGCTTCAGTTCCGTATCGCTGAAGCCGGTGATGAATTCCTGATCGACAAATCACACGCCTTCCATTATCCAGCTATGAACAAAACATTCGGAGACTTCAAGCTGCAGATTGATAAGGGGGAGTTCACCGACTCAGAAATTATAGTCATGATGGGCGAGAACGGGACCGGAAAGACCACCTTCTGTCGTATGCTCGCCGGTGTCGAACCTCCAGATGATAGCAAAAAGATCCCAAAAATGTCAATTTCTATGAAACCTCAAAAGATCAATCCCAAGTTCCCTGGAACCGTCCGAGAACTCATCTTTAAGCGTATCCGTGCATCTTACCTTAACCAACAGTTCCAGACAGATGTATTCAAGCCCCTCCGCATCGACGATTTCATCGACCAAGAAGTGAAGCATCTTTCTGGAGGAGAATTGCAACGTGTGGCCATTGTTCTTGCACTTGGTCTCCCAGCGGATATCTACCTTATTGATGAGCCTTCTGCATACCTTGACTCCGAGCAACGTATTATTGCCGCCCGTGTCATCAAGCGTTTCATCATGCACTCAAAGAAGACCGCATTTGTCGTCGAGCACGATTTCATCATGGCTACTTATCTTGCAGATCGTGTTATTGTGTTTGAGGGTACTCCATCCGTTAAGGCGGTTGCCACCAAACCCCAAAGTCTGTTGACTGGATGCAACCAGTTCCTTAAGTCCCTGAATGTTACCTTCAGACGTGACAAGGAGAACTTCAGACCTAGAATCAACAAACTTGATTCCCAGCAAGATCAGATCCAGAAACTCAGTGGAAATTACTTCTTCTTGGATGGTGAGGCTGTTCCAGAACCTATTGTTTTAAGGCCCTCAAGATCTAACAATACCACTTCTAGACCTACCTGCATAAATGTAAAAATTTCCATCATGAGTGTGGGCACTTCATTACTCCTCTTTATGATTGTAGCAAAGTATATATATTATACGAGGCATGAATATTCTGGGGTGGCGGAGAGGTAGTTTCTGTGTAGGCGTTAGGGCAAAAAAAGGGGGGTATCATTCTGTTAAATTATGCGGGTCTTTCTTTCCTTTTCTTGCTTTCTTTGCTTTATTTTTTGTTCCCATTCAACTCTTTTTTTCCTTTCCTATCTTATTCTTCGCCTATGGTAAGGAAAGGGGGTCCCTACATAACGTCCTGAAAATCAAACCAATTATTCGCCTGTATAAAAGTTTGAAATGCTTGTTTTTGATATTGTACAGCGGTGGGTATTAAGTCATCGGACGGCCTAGCCACAATTTTGCCTGCAAACGCGTATTTTGGTGGCGTTCTGTCTGATCACTTATTACCCACCGCTGTACTAGAGTATCTAGGCCTCATTTCACTTGGAAATAAAACTACCCTAGACGATAGTCAGTGGCTACATAGTCTGTGATAGTACTCGTGATCTAGGCCCAATCAGCTTTTCTCTACGTGTCTATATTTACAAGGGCCTGAGTGAATACCACCGAACCGGCAGCGGGAAAAACCCTAACCCTCCGCAAAAGATCCAGAATTCGTGAGTGTTTGGTTGCTAGCACAATGATGAATTTGACCGGATTATGCGGTCGGTGTTGTATTTATTATTAAAGTACAAAAATAAATGGTAGAAAGTAGTTTCACAAAAGAGAAATGATTAGCCCGAGAGACCGACCAAATCACTGTCAGGTACTTCTTGTATTTACTGTTAAAGAGCTTCATGTGTGCATCTGTTAAAGTAAAGCAGAAGAAAGAATCTAGGTATCATGAGTTTCGGGGCTATTAAGATCCTGTTAGTACAATACATGTAGCCTAAACTAGGGGATAATTAGAGCAAGTTCTGCTGTTTTGAGCCACCCCTCTATATTCTAGGTCCAATGGAAGCAGGAGAATAAAATTAGGGAAAAAAAGATTATAATGATAATGGGTTATTCCATAAGACCCGGTTCCTTCCCTACTTGCGACGGACAAAATATCCTGTCTGTAAGAAACAGGGCTGTTGGTTGCGTCACAGGGTATCACTCTAAAGAACACCTAACCGGATTAACCACATATATTATGTAATGGCATATAGCTTTCCCAGGGTCCAATCTCTAGCTATAAAAATAACGCTAGGCCATGCACTTAGAAAACCGTGATAATCACCCTAATCCCACAACTTAGTCTTTAGTATTTTTTATTATTTCATGTATTTTCTTTATTGCGGCCTCGTGATTGGTCGTCACACGACACGGGTTAGGTGTATGCATGTAACCGTGTCCGGGGACGAGGTTATTATAACACACCTGTATCTCCAGGACGCTATGGCATACGTATGTACTACATGTACATAGCTTGTACCTATATGTATGTACAAAGTATATTATAGTTTTATATAAACGAGCCACCGTGAGCTCGAGGCAGCAAAAATATTCAAGAGACAGATCAATCATAGATTTTTGTTTATGGAAATAATCCACGCCCTCATATTGTCCTGAAATGCCCCTTGCGAGAGGTATTGATTTTTGGTTGAGAATTGGATGTGCATCACTATCTGGAACCTACATGTAGGTACATTCTCGTGGCTCCCAGAGTACGTCTTAACTAACCAAAAATTACTTACATTTATATACACACGGCTTACTTTCCAACTTTGTAATATATCATTAAACTCATTAACCCCCACCATCGCCTCCTTCCCATCCCATTCCATACCCGATTCGCTTTCGCAAAGAACGCCCCATGCTATGAAAAAGAAAGAAAGGCAGAAGAGAAAGAAAAAGAAAACATACGATGGAAATCGGCGGGCAAAAGAAGGTACGTACAAATACAAATCAAAAAAAAATCAAAATAACAAAAAGGATAAAAATAACTCCAAGAAAGCCTAGATATAAAGATCAATTTTGCCATCCCTCCGCCAAGGCCACAACTACTACTATCACCATCTCTACTGCTTACTTCATCCCCTCTTAGTTCATTTCTTTCGGTATCGTTACAATCATCAAGCCATCAACTTTCAGTCGATCATAATATAATCGACTAAATCCATTTAATCAGTCTCAGTCCTAGCTTAAGAATCCCGGTAGAACGATACTCACCTCAATCAATTTGATAGTAAGCCCCGCACATCTCTTCTCGAGATCCTTTGTTGTTTTGAAGCTGGTTGAGAACCATATTCCACCCAGCCCCCATCTATCTAGGAACGTGGCAAGTGCCTCCTTTGAATCTCTTCTATTTGCAAATCTCGGGTCGGCAGAGGTCACACACATGAGTGTGTTCGCTTCTTTGAGAAGCATTGGGCTGTGCGAAGTACTGAGTACGTCATCGAGGTGATCTAATAGGTGATCATATAGCAGCAGGAGAACCTCGGGCCTACGCCTAGCCAGCATGGTAAAGATGGATAAAGTTTGCCGCTGGATGCTCTCCTCACAGGATCGGAAATCGATGACGCCCAAGACTCCGGTGAGGAGTAGGTTTTGCTCACTCATCCCGTCGAGAAGGGGTCCCAACTTATTGTAGCATTCCGCCTCGATAGTTTCATCCCCATCAAGAGCAATGCCAACAACCCAAAGAATCTCTTTTAACTCTACAATACTGGTGGCACGAGTGCAGACCATCGCCAAATACGGCGGAACAGGTATGTCAATACCCCACCTAACATTCTCTGGGGTGTTGGTAGCAACAACTTCCATAAACGTTGTCAGCGTACGGAGAGCAGCTGGTTTTGTCGATGGATCTTGGAGTCCTTTGGCGAGTGTTGCGGCAACGGCAATGTGGAAAGAGTCTTGATTGAATTGGAGACCATATAATTCGTCGATGGCGTTGGTGGCTTCTTCAACGGTGGGCTTACCCAGGAGAAGAACGGAGACCATGCGATTATTTTTGAATTCGCCTGATGCAGCAATTGTACGCAGAGTTGCCTCTAGAAGCGCAGCAGAACAATTAAAGATCAGTCCAGACCCAACACGGACCAACGATATTGCTAGCCAGAAAAGTTGCAGGAGGTAACGGGATGATGGCGAGAGGTTCTCCATCATTTTTGTGAGACTCGTTACGATGCTGGTCAACATTTCGTGATCATTGCTTTCTTGGAGGAACCTTGCTAGTGAGTTTTTCAACGCAACAAGAACCTGGTAGAGAAGATCGTCATCGACATCCTCCCTCGCCAAACAGCCCATCACTGAGAATGCCCTTGACTGGATTGCTGGATTTGTCTGGAAGGCGGTACTCGCAACGAGACTCATCCATCGTGCCCTCCAGATATTTGCCATATCTACAATCCGTTAGAATTATTGCTTTATCATATGCTAAGAGTCAACTCACCAATCGACGGTGCAGCGATCGACACTATTTCCAGCAACAAGTTCGTAATCTGCTCCATACTGGTAGCAGTCGTCGGCTCCGCCGTTCTTTGATCTTGAATCGTCACCTGATCCCTTGATGTTGGTCGATTTAAACTAAACAGCAAACATAGTTTTGGGCTCGATAAGTTCGTAAGAATAGCCTTCAGCTCCGTCAACTTTACTTCCTCTAGAGGAAACGAAACGCATATCGAATGGATAGTGTTAACGAGCAAGCTGTGAACCGTTGAACGGACTAGGATTGACCCGCAGTTGACCACCATCGTGATAATATGGAACAGTTCAGGCAGATACATCTGTGCCTGAACCCTGCTGTCGAATGATATCGCAAGGCATACACGCAAGAGAACACAGATCTCGCTCCATACAACGTTATCAACCAGGTGGCGGGTTGGCCTTAGCGAGGACTTGGTAATTGCTTTTCGGATCCTCATGATTATCTTTCCCCTGATGGTTAGCGTGCCAAAGCTTGACGCGATAGACCCGATTGTTTCAGCCCCGTCAGTGCCAAAGCCGAAATTCAAGGCAGTTTTAACCATTTCATCTAAGAAGACATCCAGCAATCCTTCGTCTTTACTAATCACCGACCAAGCATTCTGCTGGAATGTCGTATACAGCCTTGGCTCCCGAACGGTGATATCTATCATTTTCCTAGCGATAGTAGCAAGTCTCTCCCTTCCCCGCTCGCTGTCATCACCACTCATGAGAACCTGAGAATATAAGTTTGACAGCCACGGAACCATATACAGGATATTGAGGGGCCGCTGTTGTGGAGGTGTCTTTTCCCAACCAACAAAAAATTCCGACATAAAGTCGTATGTCAATTGTGGCTCGCTCGCAGCTAGTTTTTCACTCACTCCAACAATCAGGGCTACCGGGTCCATTGGGATACTCAGGCCTAGCGCGGTCAGTGATCAAAATATTAATCAAATCAAGAGCCTATAATTTTACCTTTCGCGCTCACAAATGGCCTATCCAGGTTAAATCCAAACGTCTGGCATAACGCACATAACAAATTGTACGCCGCCAACCTCAGCGACTGATCAGAGCTCGCAATATTCATCAAGCTAATATTCAACAATGTCCCCGGCACATCCTCTGGGCGAATCGTGCGTTCGTTCGTCTTACTGGGCTTATTGTCTTTACTATATTTAGCCTTGCTGGTCTTGAGCGTCTGAAGAATATCGTTTTTCCTCGGGCTTGTGAAATACATCGGGACCTTTCCGTTATCCGTTTTAATCCCAAAAGCGTTCTCGTCATCAGTGTAGAAGCTAGGGTTTGCTTCTTCAACATCGGTGAGTCTAAATATGTCGTTTACAGTTGCGAACATATGAAGTGCCGCAACAATCTCCTGTTTCGCTGTTGGCGTGATCTGAATATATTGGCTACCGACCTTGAAGACAACATCTATTTTCCCTCTAGTCTTGCTGAGCTTCGTGATGTGATGGAAAACATATCTAGAGTCGCTCAAAAAGCTCATAGTCTCTTTCGGCAAGTGTAAACTCCCCAAATTGAAATGTTGCTGCAATTCTGAGACGGATCCTAGCATGATAA